GGGTAAATGGGCGTGTCAGGTTGCAAGAACTTGGAGTTATTTTGAAATCGGAAACCTGACTCTCCCTGCTTAGTTGCTGCAAAGCATCTTCAGGCAGCCACTGCATAGGCGTTAATAAATAATGCAGGGACTTTATGACTGGGTCCCCCCTGACAGCTATTTGGTGTTTGCAAAACAGCAGCCAAATGTTCGAACATTAAATGTCCTGTAAAATATTCAATTTCTTTATCGAAGTTACGCATGTGCTTTTTAGTGCCTTTCCACTTGCGGCCGGCGGCAGCGGCCGCGCCAAATGTCCAATGCCGTCAGAGTGGTGTGCTGAGCTCGTGCTGCAAATCCCTGCCGTCGGATTTTTCGATCGGATGGTGGGCCAGGGCTCACGCAACAAGAGCTGCTTAGCGTGGGCGCTTATCCCAGCAATCCATCTAATGGAAAGGCTCGGACGAAACCTTCAAGTGTGAAGGTTGTCTGACATGTCCGCACACATGGCCGACTTGCCGTAAATGACTTTTGGCCACTCGATGTTGGTCCCGTCCGGTGGACGCGGCAGCCACCAACCATGATTCTTTAGCGGCCTGTTGCGCCACCGCAACTGCTGTGAACTGTCGCCACGTCTGCCGCTGCGCCAGTCGGACGACGCCAGCCACCACAACTGTGAACGGCTCGAGCGCCACTGGGAGGCGGAGCTGGCGCAGCGCGGCGCCACGGACGCTTCGCTGTCGCGCGCTCTGCTGCGTACCTTCCGCATGCGCACCATCGTCGCCTCGGTCGCCATGGTGATGGCCGTCGTCCTGCAGTTCATCGGGCCGGTCAGTGGGACACTGGGCAGGGCGCGTGTTGCCGCTGGCTCGAGACGCTTACCTGACAGTGTGATATGACTGTTGATGCGTTCGTTAGCTGTGAATGCATCTGTTGCCTAGCTGTATTCCGCTTTGCAAACGGATAATGTTGCTATCGTTGCCTAACGTATACCTGGCATAACCAGATTCAAAGCTAAGTCAACAATCCAGCTAGGTAGACAATGGTTTTCCTAGCTTTTCAAAAGTGTAACGACGTGGCGTTTATTCACATGGCTTGCGTGGTCTTCCGTGAGCTACCGCCACGCCCGGGGCTCTGACGGTGATTTCTCGTCTTGATCGCATCCACACGATCCCTTCTGAGGTTACTGGTTGTACTTGCCATTGTTCAGATAGGACCCGAAGCCAATATCACGATTTTGTTTCAGTCGATTCTGCTTACGGCAATGATGAACTACGTCAAAGATCCGTCAGCACCGTACATACAGGGCGTCTACATCATGTTACTGATCCTGGCCTGCCAGGTCGGCCGCTGCTACTGCTTCTACGGCATCAGCTTTATCACGTCCACCTTCAGCAGTGCGTGCCTCACTGTCCGGCCATCCCTACCCGGGCGCGAACACGACTCTACCAGGGGTTGCCGCTCCTCCCCGTCATGCCAACGTCAGATGACTTGCATTTTGCTCTGGATTTTCAGGCTGCAGCCCAGCGCGGGTTATGTGCTTTAGGTCTAGGAGCATGACCATCAAGGCTATGGTGTCACTGAAGCTACCATTGGCAACATGCAATGTTCATGCGGTTCCTATATCAAAAGCTGTTACCAAGATGTGGCACAACTGCAGCGCATTTACGCCGGTCTCGCATAATACTGACTCGGTGCAATTTCATGGTAAGCTTCAAACGCCTTCCCTTTACACAGCTATCACGCTTTTGTTCTCCCCATCCCACTGGCAGACCAACCGTTTACAACTCACCATGCGAAGCGTCAACATTTTAGCCTTTGTGGTACATCTCCGGTATGTGGTAGTTCGAAATGAAATCGGCATTCAAGCCCCCTAAATGGCCGTGTTCGTAACACCGTGTAGAATATAATCTGTCGAACCGATCACGAACTGCAGCCAGACTATTCAAATTCAAATTGAAATTAAAGTTGTGTTACTTGCAATAATGAGAGCCTGCCAAACAAATTTGTATAGACTTCCGGCTGCGGTGGGGCGAGTGGCTACGAGCGGTCAGAGCCCCAGCCGTGCCGTGGTCAGCTGAAAATCGGCCCGTGACTAACGTCATACGTTTGAGAGCGGTTAAATGACGGAGCGAGAGGTGCCGACCTGACCTTGGCCCGCCCGACCGCAGCGTTCCGAGCGTCTGGTGCGCTCCAACTGATGATCTACAGAAAGATGCTGCGTCTGCGCGTCACCTCCGACCAGGTGCTGGGCAAGATGGTCAACATCTGCATCAACGACATGGAGCGCCTGTTCGAGGCCTTCACCACCGGCCCACTGGTGTTCTGTACGTGCCGGGCACCACCCAGCCTTATCTCCCGCCCCCCTTCACCACCGGCTCCATGGTGTTCTGTACGTGCGGGGTACCCCCCAGCCCTATTCCCTGCTCTCCTTCACCACCGGCCTGATGGTGTTCTGCACGTGCAGGGAACCACCCAGCCTTTCCCCCGCCCTCCTCCACCACCGGCCTGATGGTGTTCTGTATGTGCGGGGCATCACTCATCCATATCCCCCACCATCCTCCACACTCGACACCGACCCACTGCCGGCGTTCCCACGTGTAACCTTAGACTCCGTGTGGTTGGAGAGGGGCCAGAGACTCTGATTTCATGCTATCGGTTGAGATCTTAATAGCTCCACTCGGTTTGCCGATGCGTGCACAGTCTCCAATGCGTGGGAAGTTAGTTCGCTCAAATACATTCCGTGGAGTGAATTTATGAAGACGGTTGATATTGTGCTGTATGATTTTCCAGCCGCACTCGGTATGTTCCTGTTCGCCATGATCTTCAACGTCGTCATTATTGGACCCTGGTCATTACTGGGATTCAGCATAATCCTGCTATGCTACCCTATTTTTGTAAGTCTATATTTTTGGGGCTACCAAGCGCTACCACTGGTCGCTGCACGCGGTTATATCGAAGATACATGACTATAACGATAGGTATCGCAATATTGCAGGACTTTATGCCTTACCTGTTACAAATATTATTTAATGGTATGATGGTATTTATTTTTACAATGTTTCTTTGTAATGGCTTCTTTATAGGTAATCATGATGTGCTACCGATTTATTGTAAGTCTTAAGATTAGTATTCTCATTCTGAGGCTGGGGCGACTCTAGATATTATTACTTTTTTCCGCTGGTGCTGATGCGACATCGAACTATAAAGTTATCCGTGTAAATTTGGTAAAACGTCGCAAGAAGCCGCCAGACGCGTTTGTGTCTAACCACTTCAGCCGTTTTTGCACGCCCTGCTACTGTGGATTGTCACATTGCGGCCGCCGGACATGGTCTGCGGTCGTTATTTGTTCGTTTTAGTTACCGTCTTTACGTGCTTTACATGCTTTGAGGTAACTGCAACCCGTGCGTATTTTTACATTATGTTCTACTGGGCGGCACATCGGTTGCCCTCATACTGCGGTTTAACAGGCTGATTGACTGAACGGTGTCCTTTGCGCCTATCGCGCCTATTTGGTAGGGTGCGCTGGCTGCTATCACCAGCTACCTGAGACTGGAGCTGGTGGTGGACACGGACCGCCGTGTCAACCTGATGTCGGAGATCCTCGGCGCCATCCGCCTCATCAAGATGTACGCCTGGGAGGACAGCTTTCGAGCCAAGGTACGGGATCGTAACAACCTGCCATTATGCTATTTATGGAGAATCTCAGGGCATGTTGGGTGTCGTAGCACCGCACTCTGGTCTGATGTCTCCTGGATCGTTCACACATCGAAGAGTGCATACCAGGCCACCATTCATTGGTGGGAGCGTGCTGGGTATTTCTTAAGCTTAAGCCGTTCCTTAAGCTGAATGGAGTATGCTATCGCTCGAAGTCTTGTACGAGCCGGAAACTAAGCTGCATCTCTGACGTGCGCGGCTCCAAACTTTGTCCGTCATGGCAATGTGACCGTGGGCGCTGATGCCCCGCATGAAGCCTGCTGCTCATCGATACATCACTGAATCAGGCGTATACCAGGCATGTAGCCGTGCCACCAGGGCCCCCGTTGTATTCAACGATAGACCTTAAATGAATAGCCTTTCGTTAACTTTTTGGCGCAATTTCAACACACTTATTTTGATACCACTTAGGTTTCCCAGATTTCAGTTTGCGCATTAATATGACAATGCGTTAATTGTAAACTGCGTACTTTTTATCCCGACTGTGACCCGGCTGGGGCTGCCAGTGTAAGGCGTTATGAATGCCCCCCCCCCCCCGCCCCCCGTTCGAGGACGGGAGGCGTCCTGACCAGTCTTCTGTTACTGATCCACCTGTCGAGTATAACCACTCACCAATCTGCTGTTGTCGAACGGCCCAGTGTACCTCGTCTCGCCGTCGACAGGTGATGGAGGTGCGTGCCGACGAGCACAAGATACTGCAGAAGGCTGCCTTTCTGCAGTCCTTCTCCAATACCACGTCTCCGCTAGTTGCTGTCCTGGCCACCATCGCCACCATTCTTGGCTATGTGTGAGTGGTGCAGTTGAGTGCCGCGTTGGAGAGCTCAGCAGCGTGGGGTGAGGGGGGGGGAAGGGGTGGGGAGGCAACAGAGTCGGCCCCAGCAGCCACGGTGTGCTGGGCTTAGCGAACCAACCCACCGACCAGCGTGCTTCGTTGCGGATTCCTGATGGACGTGATGAATGTGATGTGCGCTTGGGATGCGACGAGCCTGGTCTGAATGTCCGGGTACAAAGAGCCTGGTCTGGGTGTCTCTGGGTGTCTGGTGTGAAGAGCCTGGTCTGGGTGTCTCTGGGTGTAATGAGCCTGGCCTGGGTTTCGGGTCGCCAAGGCCGTTCGGTATGACGCACATTCAAACCATGGTCTTCCCTTACTGGATGCGCCGGAGAGAAACCGAATATGCAATTCAAGCACGCTGAGGCCGCATCCACTGTTTTCACAATCGGTTCTGGCTTTCATGTTTCTGCAATGGAGATCTATGTTCGAGTCTCGTCTCGTAGGAACTTTTGCTTTCCCCATTCTCACTGACGCTAAATGAGAGTGGTGATGCCAACCCTAGCAACTGCGTACGGTGATAAGTAATATTACGCTAAGCGACAACGGTGTCGTACCATCGCTCGCGATGTCGAACGGCACGCCGTCCCGGCCCCCGCGCTTCCGCGGGGCATCCGCTTAAATACTGTGCACGGCCAATTTTACTGAAGTGATTCAGATAAATGAAGTTTGTACCCATATCTACGTATTCCGGACACCGTGGACGCGCAGAATCGTCGTGAGATGTAGTGAACACCATTGTTTCGTGCGTGATGTGGCGGTCCCGGGTAACATGCAGCCCGTTTGTCGGCTGACGTGCGACCTGCCCATAACTGACGTCACTGCCGGCGCAGACTGAGCGGTAACGTGCTAACGGCGCAGGCCGCCTTCGCCACCTTCGCCGTGTTCAACGCCATGCAGTTCTCGATCGGCACCCTGCCGTACGGAGTCAAGATGGTGACCGAGGTGCACGTGGCGCTGCGCCGCATCAAGGTCAGGCGAGGGAGTGTGTCAAGGTTGGGCGCCGGCGAGCCAGACGCCGGGATGGGGCTGCTACTGCGGTGACGTCACGATGTCCGGAGGCGGTAGCGGAAACGTCGGTTGTAAAGGGCATTTATTCCAAACCGTACAATCGCTTCAGTGAAACCAAACACCACAATTCTGCTATAAAACCAGGGACCTGAACGAATCGCGGATCAGTGGCTACCGTTGCTCGGCGTGTATTATTGTGTACTCTCATCCAAGGGTGATATTGCTTCGTTATCTACTGAACCTAGACTGACGTTCTGTGTCGTCGCTGGAGGCCGACGTTCAGTTCTCCAATCACATGCTGATGATGTTCTGTTCGCCAGAGCCTGACTGTTTCCCTCATTATACAACAGAAGCTGATGATGCAGCCAGAAATTGATCTTGCCCAGCCGAATGTTATCTCCGAGAGCGCCGTAGAAATCACGGATGCCACCTTCGCTTGGGAGAAGCCAGTCAACGCGAAGACCAAAGCACAGAAAGGTGAGTGGCTTAGTTTGGTTTGACGTGTCAGCGGCAGTATAAGGAGTCAATGTCGGAGCCTGAGTCCCCGCCAAGCGTGGCCTGCGCAGTACTCCCACGCGTCGCTCTGTGACGATCGTAGCTAGCCTTGTAGCAATGTAGCCTTGAAGACGACTTACGTTTTTCTGGAAGGTGTTTTCTGGAAGGTGTCTTGTCGAGGTTAGCGGTGTTCCCCGTGGCTACCGGTTTCCTGCCTTTTCAAGAAAAGGTGGTATAATTTAGATGCGGTTCGAACCTATTATAACCGCTACCTGTCTCTGGATATCCCGGCGTTGTTTCAATTTTATAGGACGCTGAATATACTCGGACGTCAAGCGACGTCAGCTTTCTCACCACAGCACAGAACGGTCGTCCAAGTATGCGTCTGCACCTTTGTAATGCTGACGTTGAAAGCCGCTGCATGCTGTCTCCGTCGTACCGTCCCATCCTATCCCATTGCTCTCATTCAGAGCACTGGCGCATGGTGCAGCAGCAGCGACCCGCGCCGTGGTAGCCGACACCGTGCGTCATAACGACACCGGCGTTGCGGTTGTTGCCATGGTAACACCATCGCGCGGCCGTCTCTCATACGCTCGCCACCGCCACAGAGCGCGAGGTACAACGCGTAGCCTCGAAGCAGTCCATGAAGGCAGCCGTCGAGCAGCCGGACACAAAGGCTGCCCTGGACACGGCCCTGCCCTCTAACGGCGCGCACCCACCGCCCGCCAACGGCACCACGACTCCAGCGCCGTCCGACAGCGACCAGACGAAGGAGGTCGCCGCCGTCGAGACGGAGATCGTGGTAACGCTGCGTGATCTCTCGCTGCGGGTTGACCACGGCCGGCTGGTGGGCGTGGCTGGGTCGGTGGGCTCCGGCAAGACATCCCTGCTGGCCGCCATCATGGGTCAGGTCAGTGGGAAGATCACATCTGTTGAAACGGGGCTCAGGTCATTGGGGAGGTCAGGTCTGTTATCATGGGCCAGGGCAGCAGAGGACTTAGGTCTGTTGCCATGGGTCAGGGCAGCAAAGAGGTCAGGTCTGTTGACATAGGTCAGGGCAGCGGAATCATCAGATCTGTTGACATGGTTCAGGACAGCAGTCATCTCTGCCGCCATTTGTGAGGGAAGTTTCCTTGTTTATTTGTTTATTTAGGACATAAACATTCTACAGGCAAAAGCCCAATTACGGAAGCAGTCCAGCTTAAAGAACAATGTGAATGAAGTGAATGGTGAGCTTAGAGATCGCGATTCTGGTGATTCAGCAGCGTGTCAATTCAGCTGTCGAACCCGCAGCACCCGATCAGCTGTCGCACCCGATCTTTGCCGTTTCCAGCCCAGCCCTGTTCGACATAATCACCATGTGTCATAACTGTTAATTGATCAGCAAAACTCGAACTTGACAAGCGTGCCGTGCCTGACGAGCGGACCTGCCGACAGCTGCGCACTCAGGAGGGCTCGCTGCGCTGCCCGGGCCGCAAGGCGGTCGTCTCGCAGGTGGCCTGGATCTTCGGCGGCACGGTGCGCGAGAACATCTTGTTCGGCGCGCCGCTCGTCTTGGACCTCTACAACCGCGTGCTGGACGTGTGCGCGCTGCGCACCGACCTGGAGATGATGGAGCATGGCGACCTCTCGGAGATCGGCGAGCGTGGTCTGAACCTCAGGTGCGGCGGCGCCGGCACGTCAGCTCCGCTCCAGCAGGGGTGGAACTACCTCTCTGAGATTGGGGGAAGCAGGATAAATAATGGTGGGGTGCTCAAACTGGGATCTGGAAGCGACAACCTGACTGAAAAATGACATTTGGATTGGGAAACGTGGAAAAACGTTTATTTTATGGAAATAAGGGGCCAAAATAACTCTTACTGAAAATTGCAGGGACGTATCCCCCGTCACCCAGTAGTTCACCCATGGTCAGCAGTGAGGCTGGGACTGTCCGGGAAACGTGGACAGTTATTGATTGCACAAACGTGAAAGTCCGAATAAAAAAGGTCGCTGTAGCCGTGAGTCACTCTTGGGCATGGCTCTTCCGGGACCTTTCATATATTCCGCTAGCTCCCAGAGTTGTTGGTTGGGACTTTTCCCAAAGCTGGGCATTGCTGTTCGCTTCATGGGCCTTCTTGCTAGTTCGCGTCACTTTAAACAGTAGCCTTTCCGTGCACGCGCCATTAGCATGACCGACAAAACCTCCTCTACCGACGTCTTCATACCTGTCAAAACGGGTCTGACCTTTCAATAATGTCTAGGAGGTCACCAAGAGTGTGCAGTCCATCGGTCAGGGACAGGGCTTGAGGGCACCGTATTGAGGCGTGACGAATCTGGGGCAACGCACCGTGTTTGGGCGAGAGAGCACTGCGCAGGCGGAGGCCGGCCAGAGGCGGGCCAGTGCCCTGCTTGCTATCCATGTCTCCTCCGTTGGAGGGCAAACCTTTTGTCCGATTTGTTCCCGCCGTTACATCCGGCTGTCGCCACGGATGACGCCACGGTAAAACCTGTTGACAGTGGAGGCCAGAAGCAGCGCATCAACATGGCGCGCGCCGTGTACGCCGCCGCCGACATCTACCTCCTCGACGACCCGCTCAGCGCTGTCGATAGTAAGGTTGGCAAGCACATCTTCAACCACTGCATCCGCGGACACCTCAGCGGCAAGACGGTGCTACTCGTCTCTCACGGCGTGCAGGTGGGAACAGGGGCGTGCAGGTGGGATCAGGGGCGTGCAGGTGAGGCCAAAGGCGCTGGGATCCGGGGGTTTGTGTGCTCAGTCCGGGATGGGTAGGAGGGCTGATGAGAGCTGGCGGCAGATAAATGGGATGGCCTCCCCCTCAGTGTCTGTCCCAGTGTGGCGAGGTAGTCACACGCCAGCGGGCGTTCCATCAGGCGGGCGTTCGGTGGGCGGTGGCGCGGCCGCTCCCACAGCCGCCGGAAGCAGTCAACTCGGGTGGTCCCAGTCGAGTCGGCACCTCAGGCCGGCCCGGGTCGTCGGCTGGCCGAGTGTTTGCTGTTTTGTGGCGGCCTGTCTCGGCGAGATGGGCTGTACCCCGCCCTGGGTGGGCCGCGGTTTTAGCTTTGTTTATTGTTTGGTGTTGCTTGGCTTGCTGATATCACATAACCGTCACGTTAGCGTCGTATGTGTATTCGAATTCAGTGTCGAGTCCAGATTTTCCAGGTCACCAACAGCAGTCATCCCAGAGCAAACCCATTATGCTATTCACGAATCTGCAGTCCTGTTTTCTCTGAGTCACTTTGTTCGACTTCTACAGGTCAATAAAAGGCCAAAGCTTGGGTACTATAGCATTCCTTCGTTCATCAAAGTAATCCAGTAAAAATGGGTGTCATATTGATCCTCGTGATGTTCAGTTTCGTCACACATAAAATCCCACGCTCAAGATCAAAGATCAAGGTCACATAAAACTGGACACCCTGACAGTTATTTGCTCTTGAAGAAATTGCAGCAAAAGGGGTGTTATATTAGTGCTCGTAATGCCCTCCATCACATGTGCAAAAACTAGCTTTCAAGTTCAAAGTTCAAGGGCACAGAAAGCGCGGCACCATGACATTCATTTGTTAACTGAATAAAAAAGGACATTATCTGATGTTCATGGTGTCCCCTTCGTCCAAGAAAACAATTAAGGTCAAAGGTAAAGGTCACTCAAGAGCGAGAAATTAGCATTTATTAGTTTACCCAAAAAAACTCATAAAACGAAGATCGGATCCATGCATGTCATGTCTGCTTTTCTCACACAAGCAAAAACTTATCCTCAAGGTGAAAAGTGAAGGTTACGCGAACGCGACACCCTAGCATTTATTTGTTTCCTTAATAAATTTATTTACCATTATACTAAAGGAGCAGTGTGCCTGTGTCCGCCATTCTTTAAGGTCATGTACAGGCAGACAGTTAGGAATTTTTAATGCGATTTTCACCCGACCACGGGCTGCTGGCAGAGCGCGGCAGTGTCGCATCAAATCTCGACATTTCGCAAAAATGAGGGCGTGGGGAACAAAAAGAGGTCACAAAAATCCCCATAGGTTTAACGGGAGAGACGCACCTCTCGCGACCACTGGAAGACAGCACGACCCGCGCCCGCTCCGGAACCAGTCTCGACGACCAATGGCCGCAGCGACATGAAGCTTGCACAGCTAGATAAACGATGCAGTGGGCCATCAGATTGGTGTAAGCTTAAGGCGCCACGTGGTACATAGCACGCGCACAGGCGCTGGAAAAATTTAATGGGCTTTCTTACCGTTTTTCGCGCTTTGGGTAAATTCCCGGCACCCAGTGCGCACACAGGCGTGAATTTTTCCCCAAAATTTGCAATAAACCCAACTACAATTTTAGTATGCATTGCAAGTCTGTGCAACGCAACGTTGGTCTGCAACTTGCAAGACAAATAGCAAGCGGCCAAGTTTTGAAAGCCGACATCTTGTACAAGCCTCTACCGTCGAAATTATTCATAGTTCAGCGTTAAAAACTGCATCAGCGTGTTGGCTGAATTATTCTGTCTCTTCACCACGCTTTTTCAAATTACATGTTGCGTTGACTCACTCGCAAACCAGCCTACACTGACAAGCCACACCACGGCTTTCCTCCTCGCCCCGGTCCGCGGACTCTGACCGCCGCCGGCAGTTGTTTCAAGGTTGAAAGGCCGTGTAATCACGTGACTGGCTGCCGTAATTAACTGCCTCCGACCGATTATGCTACTTCGCCCATATAGCTCGACAACGACGAGTTGGAGCGACCCGGAAGGGACACGAAAATATGTGCCGTTCACAATGGTACGGTCACACATCACGTGTCACGCGCCCAAACGTGATTTGTGCTCTCTTCTAGGGGTTTGACGTTTTGTGCCACATCTCGGCGCCCAGGACACGGACACACTCAGGAGTGGAACTGTTCGATAATGAATGGAACGGGCAAGATGGTAATGTGTAGTCACGCGTGTCATGTGTCATCGCGCCCACGTGTTGAACTGTTTATTTACATGTTTTTGCTCTTTTGCGGGGTTCACATGTTTTTGTGGTATCTGGATACTCGGCATAAAATATGTCGACAGAGGCATCTTTCAAAAATCAAGCAAGGGATGACTTTTGCTCTCTTCTACGGGTTTACACGCGTTGCGCCACATCTCGGCACCCAGGACACGGACACACTCGGGATTGGCATGCATTGATAGGGAATCGAACGATGCCATGTTGCGCGTTTCTGTGTGTCACCCGTGCTCGAGCCAGCAGGATAGATTCGGGCATTTCCAACCTTTTTTAACGTTTTACACCGTATCTCGGCATCTAGGGCAGCTAGAACCATCAATCAAACTGTAAAAGATAGAAATCATTGTACGTTTTCTCACTCAGCGCAACGAAACAAGCGTGCAAACGCTTGTATCCTCTATATCTCTGTCTCTGCCTCTACCTCTGTCCTTATCAATATCCGTCGACGATGGATTCTGAAGCTCCAACCTAGACCGATGTCTCCGTACCGATGCGTGTTGCCGATTGGAAAGAGCATTGTAGCACAGAATCTTAACTTGCACGGTATATACCACAAACTAAATTTTTCCTCAGACGTCCTATATAACTTTTCAGCTTACCCCTGTAAACGCGTCCTCGGATGGTGATGATGCTATTTAGTGTTTAAAGGCGCTAACGACTTCAAGTCCATTGTGCGCCAGCGTACCATCCTCGGATGTCTTTCATTGCACAACATGCTGATAACGGATTGAATGGTGTTTAGTACAAATTAGAGGGGACTTATCTGATAAAATATTTACCCCGGACGCAGGTGGCTCAGTTCAGAGGACACACTTACGTGCGCGCATAGTGTCTACATTTAGTAGGTCCTTTTCATGGTGGGATATCGACGTGTATTTGAGTCACGTACTTAACTTTTAGACAGTTGTATCAATATGTATTATGGGTCGATGAGCAAAGACATGCTTCATACATGGGCCGTAAGCCCGTACATGGGATAGCTAATCCAAGGAAATGCGGGGTACGTTAGCTTCATCCGATTTAGCCAATCTCATTCATCGAGACCGACCACGCGGGCGTGCTTGCTGGTCACCCAAAATACGTGCAGTATATGGTATTGGTGTCGGGGGCATGTGCGGATTTTGTCAGTTTATATGACCTATTGAACTACATATCCCGGGGTGTAGTTTTTCAGTTGGGTGGGGGTGGCGACTGACTTGGACTTTAGCCCCTCCAACTTTGATCAGAAAAGAAGAAAGAAGATCAGAACATGGCCAATCGGGGCCAAATCAGGTTGCCGGGTATTTTGGGGGCGGGTTTTGTCATTTATCACTGTTCAGCCCCCAACTCATGTTGAGAAAGTACGCCCCAGCCAGTGAGACAATGTCTGCTTCTGTCTGCCATCAGTACTTGTCCCAGTGTGACGAGGTGCTGATGATGAAGGAAGGCCGTCTGGTGGAGCGAGGCACGCACGCTGAGCTGATGGGGCGTCGCGGGGAGTACTTCAAGCTGGTCAGCTACGACACGACCACGTCGGCTCACCAGGCGCCGAGTGAACACCTGACACCCGGCGGCACCACCGAGGAGGGTGCGTGGGTGCTGGTGCACCCTGGCCGAATATCGGCCGTATTTCAGCAACGTAATATTAGAGGGTTCGCGCGGCAGGTAGCTCTGAGCGGGGGAAGGGGAGAGGGGGGGGGGGGGGAGGGCAGGGCATTAAGTTCGTGTGGCGGCACGGTGTGTAAGACACATATTGCGCTGATAATGGAGTGCATGGCGATTGCGCTAGTCGGGTGTTGCGAGCGTTTGGCCGGCACGTCGTGTTGTCTGGCAGCAGATGATGGCCCGAGGAGTGTGACGGTGGCCGCGCGCCTCTTGCTCGGATTTCACCTGCTGTACCGCCGCTCGCTGTGTGCCCGACAGAAGTGGAGAAGATCAAGAAACGTCTGACGGGAGAGGAGAGCTTTGTGCCCAAACTGGGCTTCTTCAGCCTGCTGTACCTGTACATGAAACCGGCCGGCTTGGCCATCATGATGGTAGTCGTGCTGCTGATCATCCTCTTCGGCGTTAGCCGTTCGGCCAACGGCGTCTACCTTCAGTACTGGCTGGACACAGGCGACGGACTCATGGTGCGTATACTGACTGATTGCTGGGTCATCCGCACAGCAACGGCGTTGAGCCTCTGTGCGAATATAAACGATGTATACAATAATAAATAGTCTGGAGCTTGTTTTTCTACCGTGGATTTGGTTTCCAAGGTTGGTAACGCATGATTTTAAACTAAACGGAGAGGCTGTCGTAAGTGACGGTGTTTCGTGTCGTAATCGCCACCTAATGTAGTAAATGCTTTGCTTCTTCCATTGTTGCCAGGAGGAACGACTCCGGAATCAGACCGAGTACAACATGACCTACACTGCGGAGCAGCTGGTCGGTGTCATCAACGACAATCCAGACCTACACCAGCACATGATCATCTACTCCATGATGGCCGTCGTTATGTGCGCAATCGGCGTTGTTAAAGGAAAGCTTATGTCCTATCTGAAGAGAAAGCTTTGTTTTTTGGCGCGTGGTGATGTTGTTAATGGCCAAATTGTTGTCGTTTTTGTTTGCGTTATCATTTAAGAGTCACTGTTATGGTTGATGAGATTGCAGATTAAGAATCAAGGGGCATAACTCAACAGGTTTGACTGAAAAAGGCAATTTGGTGCATCGTAGGCACGTGAAATTTCTCGAATGGCGTGAAACAAGGTTGCGTGCTTTCAACCCACTCATTTTAGCGTGTCTTCCTTGGTTTTCCGCATTGGCGATATTTACAATCATGCATGCGAATACACGTAGCGATTGCATATGGGAGCGGGCCACCTGTGCACCTATCTTGAATACGCGCGTGCTTAGGAAATGCCGTTGCGATGGCAATGATCTGGGGGCTACAGCCGGCACCTCGCGAGCCTGGCCGTTACCATCAAGGTATTGCGGACCATGCCATTACGTTGTCTTTGTTGCAGGTTTGGGAGTCGCACTGCGCGTGATCAAGGGTGCCACGGCCGTCCACAATCGAATGTTTGACGGGCTGATGCGCTGTAAGATGAGCTTCTTCGACGCTAACCCCGGCGGTCGCATCCTCAACCGGTTCTCGCGTGACTTGGATGAACGTGAGTGGGCACCGGCTCCGGCTACGGACGGGTGTTGCACGTGCAGCCGGGCCGGTGCAGGGACGAGCGGACGTCAGTACACTGTAGCACGCTGGGGTCATCAATGATCTTCAGGTGCCAGGGTCATTCTCCAGTCCCAATAATTGTGTTTGGATGTGTCTCACACCTATGGTATTAGAATGTGGTAAAAAGGCGCGGGCTGTGAGGAGATCGTGTGCTGTTACTGAGGTATACTTAAAGGGAGTGTTCCACATTTATATGGGGTTATGAACGGAATAGGCATCTTTAAGACCTTTCGGTGTTGTTCACAATCCTGCCCTTGTTAAGGCATAAGCCCATGTAGTTTCTGAGCTATACATCCGCGAAATTGGGGGAACGGTATATCGGGAGGGTATTTCGAAGTCGAAGTAGCATTCATGATGTCATAATAACGCCATTCAAATCCTGCCATTCCATAAGCTATGTGGCAATCGAGGCCGAGCAATATGATTGTCGAAACTTTCATACCTAGCGTTTCGTGAGCGCGATTTCCAGATACAATGCCTGTCAGTTGACTATTAATCCATGTTGTGCGAGGTACGATGACGTAATCAAACCATGACGTATTGGGGAGCGTTTTTACTAAATGGAGAATTGTGCTGTCTAGAGCAGTCTTTTGCACTTAAAAAGCATGCCAATGATTATGAGCTTGTTTCATTGTATCTCACACCTCAAATCTGATTTCTTCAAATGGGAAGCATTCCCTTTAATCTGTTTTTCTTCCAGTGGACAACAAGATTCCGATGCTGTTTGAGTTTCTGCTGCAAGGAGGAGCCATGATCTTGTCGCAGTTTCTGATCCCCACTGCCTCCTTCCCGGAATACATAGTGCTGGTCATCATAGTGCTGGGTAAGCCTAGGACAAGCCATCGCCACAGGATTCCGTCACCGTTGCATATGGCTTTAAATCGCATGCAGCGCATTCAACGTCATATAGCCTCAGCTGCTGCGTTTATCGTAAGTCTCAATAACAACGCAGCGTACTCCAAATGCTTGTGAGCATTACTGAGCCCCGCCCTTTCAAATGGTGTAATCGCGCCACTAGGATCCATGCGCATGGTGCCGCCACTGCCTGTGGTCGCCGCCAGCCGAGCCCGGCCGCGCGGCGTGCCGCTGGTGAGCGCGCTGATGATTGCGCCGTCCCGGCTGCCGCGGCGTGCTGCCGGTGAGCGCGCTGCTGACCGTGCCGCTCCCCCCCTCCCCCCTGCCGCAGCACTGTACTTCTTCTTGGGTCGCGGCCTGATCTCCGGCATCCGCGAGACCAAGCACGTGGAGAACCTGATGCGCTCGCCGGTGGTGCATCACATCACGTCGACGGTGGCTGGCCTGCCTGTCATCCGCACCTTCGGCCGCGAGGAGGTGTTCACCCAGAGGTGAGTCTGCCGCCAGCCGGCCGCTCTCTGCGCCTGCTCAGAGGTCGTCACAGACTGTCCGGAGTCAAGCACATGGCGGAGGGAACAGCGAAACATACTGGGGCCCTTGGGGCACGGGTACGGGTACGGGTACGGGTACGGGTACGAGTACGAGGGATGAGGATAGGGATGGGGACGGGGTATGAACCCCTGGCAAACGTATTTATCGCAGTTTTTGCGACTTAGTGCTAAGATGAGATGGATTTTGGTTTGCGTGGTCTATCTGACGCCGGTTATACAACAGGAGCTCGTAGCTTCCACCAGTTTCCACACATATATACATGCGTATGTATTAAAAAACAATAGACATAACATGGGTTTCCACTGCAATGCGTGAAGGTGAAGTAATGTAATGAAGTAAGGTCCAAACAAGCGACATGCTACACGGAAACAAAACAGGAAGCGTCATTACTGGGAAGTCATGCTGCCCGCGCAGAAGACGGTGCTTAAGGTGTGATGTGAACCTGCGCACGTCCTGGCGGATTGCTAGCGGGGCATATTCCTGCACATAACCGTATCATAGACCACAGCGACCTGCCTTCTTTCACATTCGTGGGTAGCTCGTGTCGGGTGACTGCTCTCGTTCGGTATGTTGTAGGTGTTATGTTTTGCTCTTATGGTGTTTAGCCATCTCTCCTGGTGTGAGTGTTGTGGACAGTGGTAAAAAGGGCATTTTCTGTCACCGACGAAATTTGGAACCATCTAAATTGTCACTTGGAGCCAAGTCTTTCAGAAACCTTTACAATGTATCTCTAAATGCGATAAACCACAAGAACACATACAAAGTAAATGCAATGCGGCAAAACCGTCAAACATGTTCGTTTAGGAAGTTTATTTACACTCAAGTGTCGTTTGCTGGCCATTAAACACCGAGTGGATGGTTGTGACTAGACTAACAGAATTATCAGATAAAAGCATGCTTAACGTAAGCAGCCTAAAAACGGGAAGTTCCCTTTTCAGTTTGGGGGTCGGGGGGGGGGGGGGCGAAATTGTGCCTCCTAACCAAGGACGCAGTTTTCTAATTTTAGTTATCATCTTTATGCATTATTTTTCATTTGCCGTAATTTGTAGGGTTCAGACCCTAAACCATTTCTGAGAAAACATACCCCGGCTGCCAACTGTGACAAGAAGCGAGTAAAATCTAGGAAGAAATCTGCTCTAAGCGCATTTCGGAGGCGGGCTCAGCCATTTTTTTCTTCCTACCCCCCCCCCCCCCCCCGTTTTTCCTCCCTCACTCTCACGTATTTTACAAAACTGCATCCCTGTAGCCCCACATTGAACGATAACGTGGTTCAAGTACCTGGAACAATATCACTTTTGGTTTTGTGACGTCACCGTACAATCAACTTGAAGCATGGGTGACCTTCGCTATCTGCGCATAATCGTTGCCGGTGTAGAACTCGCATTCGTAACATGATCCCAATTATTCAGAGCAAAAATCATGCAATATTGGAATCAACAGATGCAAACGACATTTGTGAACACCTCCAGCACCTTCACTTAGTTTTATATGCAGTATGGTGACCACTAAAGGTATTGAATCTCGCCTGTGCACCGATCAGTGCACTAAGCCTAAGGTGCGACGGGCATGTCAGAGACCTACACCAGCAACGCTCAGCCTCTTACCTCAAAGACGCTGTTCCTCTCAGCGGCAGGAGACACTGGATGAATCCTTGACATGTGTCGATGCAGATACCTCTGTTTACATCTGAAGCTACCGCTGAGGCATCCACAAACAGCAGTTCTCCTAGATCGGCAAGGCTTTTTAACGCCACTTCCTTAAAAAAAACTGACGATTAGCTACGTTCTTCTGTCAGTCTGCTCCTCAAGGCGAGAGCACAACGTACAGCAGCCCAAAGCCTTGCGCTAAACCCAACGCAGCACCGCGCGGCGAGCAACCGCGCCCACCTGTCTCTGTTCTAGCGCCTGGATCTGTCTCAAAGAGTACGACACTTTAAAAGGTGACGTTGCAAACCGATCGCGTTCGTCGAAATATGCTGCGGTCAGCCACGATTCTTACGACTAATACGCTGACCCAGTTATAATATATTATATATTATAGTGTATTATATATTATGTTACATGGTACATTATAACCCTAGTTATTTAGTATTTTATACTGTTAAGCTTGTGAAGTGAATCTTGCCTGAAAAAAAATGTGAAAAGCACTGACGTGAGGGACTTGGAAAGGCACTGTGTTATTGATCTGTGACGTCAGCACTGATATGGTATAGTTTGTAGTATGTTTCTGTCACTTGCAAAGGCCATCCTGATTAAAGTTGCCATGTTTGGCAGCATATTATGGCTCTACCTGCTCATACAGCGAAACTTCAACGTTCTGACATATGCTCTACACATGCTCGCGCTGCGAGTGTGGGTGAGTACAGACCAATTTTAAGCTTCGGGTTTTGTCGAGCTGGGATAATCTGTCGTAATATGGTCTGGTCTATTGAGATTTGTTTGCGTTTTCGCAATTTTATCACAGCTTAGTCGCAGAAGTGCCGGGTTTTATCAACGATCATATCCGGTAAATGAGAAGCTTTTTCACTCCTGGTTGTGAAGTGGAAATACGCATTCGGTGGCGTTTAGGCTTTTGCACCAAGATTGTGGAGTTGCTAAAAGATACGTGGCTTCATCGGCGGCTAATGACTGGCGTACCAAATGTTAGCGTGTTCTTCACGTTGTGCAATTGTGAGACGCTTGCTTGTGCCGTATGACCAAATACAGAACTTGCCAGATAGGGCGACGACGGCTCGAACTTGAGCTAGGATGCTTTTCAATATGTCATGCGTTTTCGCCCATTAAACAAATGAGGATCGTGTCCCTACATCCTGCATGGATATATTTCACTTGCGGTTTTGAATGATGATCGCTATCCATGATTACACCTATTTTGCGTACCATTCCGGCGTCAGCAGTGCCCGCTTCAAAGGAGTAAATTGTTTCAGGTTGAAACCTCTCGACATAGCAGGGATCACCACTACCTGTACCTGCGTACTTGCCGTGTTCAGCGTCATACCGCTCGAACTGCACAGCCCATGCGTGCGTCGGAGAGCCTGTGCGATGTAATTAGTGGCAGGAGTCTTGTCGCCTGTTGTCATTAGCAATAACTTGCGTGCCGTCGGGAGACAGTACAGACAGTCCATGTAGGCTCAGCTCGTTCGAGAATACAGTGCACAGTGCGCAGCTGATTGATACGCCCTGATACACAACGACTGTATTTGTTTGCGCCCTAGACCACACAGGCAGACCTGTGCTAAGCATCTGCACTGGTTGAGTGTGACGGCATAGCCAGCCTGCCAGCCATTCTGGTTTCAATCACGCATCATCAGCTTGAAGAGCCATTGTTGTTCGTCGGGTGAGTGTCATGTGCCGTGCATGACATGACATCAGCTACATTTGGCCAGGACATGTGACGGAAATTATACGGGTAATGATTGGTCCCACGATGTCCACGTCGTGACCTACGCCCCGTCAGGTGGTCCGTGACCTCTGACCGCACATGACGGACCCCGCCGACGCCGTGACCGCCAGGTTTGAGGAGCTGTTGGATCGACACACCTCATCCAATCTTCAGTTCCGCCTGTCGTCTGTGTGGTTCTGTCCTGCGGCTGGACGAGCTCGGCACCGTCATGATCACGGCCGTGGCGCTGTTCGTTGTGTTCGCGCGCGACGCCTCGCCCGCCATGGTCGGCCTCTGCCTCTCGGTCGTCTACGGCTCCGTCACCTTCGTCTCCTTCTGGATCCGCATGACGGCCGAGCTGAGGTGGGTGTCCGGGTGAGCTGAGGTGGGTGTCTGGACAAGCTGAGGCGGGTGTCCGGGCGTGCAGTCGACACCGAGCTGAAAGTGGGTGTCCGAGCAAGCTGAGGTGGGTGTCCAAGCAAACTGAGGTGGGCGTCCGGGCAAGCTGAGGTGGCTGTCCGGGCAAGCTGAGGTGGCTGTCCGGGCAAGCTGAGGTAGGTGTCCGAGTATGCAGTCGACACCGGGCTGAGGTGGGTGTCCGGGCAGGCTAAGGTGGGTGTGCGGGCGCGCAGTCCGACACCGCGGTGAGTTGCCTGAGTGATCACCTGACTGTCCTGCTCGTGCGACTTTTTTCTAGCTGACAGTGAATGGTAGCCCTTGTTTTTCATGTTTGTCAGATATATTTCTACCTCCCCATAGTCTATAGTCTGTTAAATCTCTCAAGTCTCGTCGGTTCTCATTGGGAGTGCGGCGTGGGCTAAAGTGTCCAGCAGAACACCCATGTGATCTTTGATCACCGCTGATGTCATCGCAGATCGGTTTTATGTGACCGCCTACCGCTGTTGATGTGACATGATCGCCGTGCTGTGTTATATGATGGCTGACCGCTGCCGATGTGATGTGATCGTCACGCTGTTGACTGTTTCTTGCTATCGACATTCACGCTGGTCGTAGCGCCCGCCTCACGTCCGTGGAGCGCTGCGACGAGTACATCCGCAGCCTGGACTACGAGGCGCCGCTGCACGTTCCGGAACGCGCGCCGCCGGCGTCCTGGCCGCAGCGCGGCGGCGTGGAGCTGCGTAGCGTTTGCCTCCGCTACCGGCCTGAGCTGCCCAGAGTGCTGCACGACATTAGTCTGCAAGTGCAGCCTGGCGAGAAGGTCGGCGTTGTCGGACGCACGGGCGCAGGTGCGACACGCGGCGAGGCGGGCTCGGGCCAAAGCGTGTGGCGTGTTGGTGTGCGTGCGCAGCCCTGGGACGGTCTTTCTTGGACTTGGTAATGTTGTTAGATCCGTGTTGTTTTGCAGGAAGTCAACCGTGTGCTGTAGATGAACCCGTGATGGATTTTTTTGTAGCCGTGGCTGGTAAGGTTAACGCCAGAAGAGATGTCTCATATCGAGATTCCATGTTTCAACGGTGGCTTGTTGAGCGTGTATTTCCCGTAGCTATCTGGGAATGGTCTGCATAAATTGAAGGCACACAAGCCAAGGCAAAGCTCACATTAGCCCTGTGATCGTTGATGGCGTGCAGGGAGAGTCGTCTCGCTGCACCAGTGGCGATGAGTTTGTGTGCCGTCTATGAGCGGCACATGCTGCTGACACAGGCAAGTCGACCTTCATCTCCACGCTGCTGCGTATGGTGGAGGTGGAGACGGGCACCATCCTGATCGACGGCCTCGACATCCGGCCGATGGGGCTGCATGACCTGAGGTCACGTATCGACGTCATCCCGCAGGACCCGGTGCTCTTCTCTGGCACCATCAGGTACTGGTCTGGTCAGAAGCAGCAGCTGCTGCCTAGTCGTGCGCGAAGCTACGCATGTGCTACTTCCTGGAAACGTGGCCAACGTAGATCTCTCACGTGGTGGAATCATTTCATCGCATTTTGCACACTAGCCTGAGTTAAATTAATACCCAACGGTGCGGAATACTGAAAAGTTGGTACGGCAGAGCCTTCGAGACGGACACATTTCGACGAAAAAATGATGACGAAATGACCAATTTTATCAAAGTTGGTATGAGTGATGTGAAAGCTGCTAAACCGTGTCCTCCATCTGCTGCTAGTGCCCGCTGAGGCCCATCATCTGGCCAGTAATTTTATGTTGGTTTTATTAGCCTGCTGGCATGGCTGAGACGTTTGTGTCATTCATTTGTGACCTGCTAGTTAGGTAACGACCACGGCTGCCTCACTTTTGACCTCAGACACAACCTGGATCCGTTCGACGAATACCCCGACGAAAAGCTATGGACTATACTAGAGAAGGCCAACCTGAAGAAGAAGGTGTCGCGGGCGGATCAGCAGCTTCAGATGAAGGTCACTTCAGTCGGTGATAACTTCAGGTACGGCAGGCTCCGTCTGCGCTCGTCTGGATCAGGGACGGGTTGTGGCCCCACCACCGCGCCAGCCAGTGACCTGCAGTAACCTAGCATCAGTCTCAGTCAGGGATATGACGTGACCTCGCGTTCGCCCCTGTCAGGGGCGGGTTGTGGCCGTCAGGACCGGAGTTTCGCGCACCTCTCAGCAAGGGATTTGCCTATGTGGAAACGTGGCCTAGCCTCGCGCCCGCCTCTGTGAGGGACGTGTGGTAGTCTGCCGCTGAAAGTGTCCCGTAGCGAAGCACGAATCGTGCGTGATGCCGCGGTGCGCTTCCTCAGTGTCGGCGAGAAGCAGCTGATCTGCTTGGCGCGCGCGCTGCTGCGCCAGAACCGAATCCTGCTGCTGGACGAGGCCACGGCGTCGGTGGACGTGGAGACGGACCACCTAATCCAGCGCACCATCCAGGACAACTTCAGTGCCTGCACCGTCATCACCATCGCCCACCGGCTTGACACCGTTGTCGGCTACGACAGGATCGTCGTCATGGACGCCGGCAAGGTGGGCTGCGTCCTGGCAGACGTTTGTCACAGAGTGTCGTTTCGTAGACGCCCATGCTTCAAAATACTGAGTGTAAAATGTCAGGCCCTAAAGTTTCCAGCGGACACAAAGCAACAGGACGCAAGGTCTCGACCCTCATGCGGCTTTTGCTGGGCGCGTTCGATTGTGACGGACTGGATGTGTTCCACTGTGACGGAGTGGGCGCGGACCAGGGTGGCGGCCCCTGTGTGACTGACCTCGGCCTTGCCGGCAGGTGGTCGAGCTGGACACGCCGCTGGCGCTGATGGAGAACGAGAGCTCGCTGTTCCGCCAGATGATGGGCCACGCCGGCTTCACCACCGTTGAACAGCTGCTCGAGCTGCAGAACAAGAGACGGTAGACGACGCTGACTTGTAGACTGCCAGCTCTGTTCTTTCGTTGTCAGGGAAGGCCGTCCGTTACACTGTTACTCAATGAGATGCACGCCTCTTGTTGAGAAGTCGTGTGGAAAACGTCCACGGTGCTGTAATGGGACGTTACTCGAGTGATAATCCCGCTGGCGGTGTAGTGTGTGTGTACCAGTTCGGGCGCGTGCAGAGTGAAGCCGACTGGCTCGGCCTCACGAGAGCCCGAATCTGTTCTCTCCTCCAGTTAGTCGAGGCAGCTTGGAAGCTCAGCTCCAGGTATATGCTGTGTGCACGCATAAACATGCCGTTCGCGCGCACCCAGTACGTCACTGGTATCGCTACGATGATTACGGCGTAATGTGATGACCAAGATAAACAAGATAACCGGGATCAGTGACCGGTATCAATGTTGTGCCGACGGCTCTTGTTCCGTCAGAAACTCCGTGTTCACCGTGTAGAAATATAGTCATATGATGTGCCTCGCAACGGTCCTGTCAACTGTCAGTGCTTAATCGACTAACTATTTCTTAGAAATATATGATCGCGCCCGTTGAATTGGAATTAAATCGGCAGATAAAAACCAGCTTCCAACGATGTTCTGGTTGGCCGCCTGACCCGGAGATGGCGCAAGAGTAGGCAGTCCAAGTGGTGCCAGGGTCTCGTTCTTCATTAACAAAAGGAAAGCTCATTCGTAACATGGGATAAGAACATGCCCTGATTTACTGGCCTGTTGGGGATGTCACGTGGAAGGTCATTGGTGACTGCCAGTGTGAGAAAAGTTGTAAATTATTACGCACGCATGCAGCTGACTGTAACTGTAAAGCGGCGCATTTGGAGCGCACTTTCATCCGAATAGCGCAATAGCGGTCTCGCTACAAAACAAATGCGAGTAATTCCACAGGGGCACTTGCGCCAAAAATGGGTTCGCATGCTGCAGACCTACGGCTGTGGTCCACTGGTACGCGGTGTAGTGTCCTCGGTTACTCGCGGGGCCGAGCGGGGTTTGCTGCGGATGAGAGCGGATCTCAGCTGTCTGTGGCAGGCGGCAGAGAGCGACTCGCTACGCGTTCTTCATTCGTCGCTTGCTCGGTCTTGACGTTGTACCTCACACGCATCGAACCCAACATGATTAGGCGTTCGCTGGGCTCTCCTCAGGCTGCTTCCGTTTACACCCGGGCTTATTTCCTCTCGGACCGGACCCCGTGCACCCTAACTTGCAAACCCATCGCTTCGCCCAGAATCGTAACGCCGTCCATCTCACCGAAAAGAGCTGGGCCCGTCAGCTGTGAGCCGGCTTAGTACCGAGCCAGCGGGAGTCCGCCAGAGCGTCCGCACAAACTCCGACGAGGGGTGCCTGTGTGGAGTAGGGCTTGCAAGCCGAAATCCCATGCGAAGACCGCAGCATGGCCAGGCTACTTATTGCCCTCTTCAAGGGGCCGAACTCCCAAATTCTCACTAAAAACCGCTGAATAGCGTATATACGTCACTGCCTCTTCTCAGTCCCACAGCCCTCGATTGGTCGTTACTACCATTAGTCGAAAGGACTCCAATCCCCCTCCCTCCAATGGAACCGGGTAATTGACCTGCGCACCAGTTGGTGTATGCCTGGGACATACCCAGAAAAGCTGGAAGCCCGGGTGTCCGTGTGAGAGACAGAGGGTCTCACCTGTTCTCTCTTCCAGTTGGCCAGATGAGCCCCAACGTGCGTAGCTGTGAAGGCGCTCAGAACAGCAATGTTCATGGGTCGAATCCGCCTCGGCCGAGCGCTTAGCGTTAGGATCACGAATAGAATGGGCATCAACAGCTGCTGACAAACACACCGCCAGGCAGCACTCGCGGGACATCGACTGTCGAGCACGGCACCCACCGTCAAAGCCTGACAAACACCGCCAAGCAGCACTCGTGAGACATCGACTGTCGAGCACGACACCCACCGTCAACGTCTGGCAAACACCGCCAGGCAGCACTCGTGAGACATCGACTGTCGAGCACGGCACCCACCGTCAACGTCTGACAAACACCGCCAGGCAGCATTGGTGAGACAATGGCTGTCGACCGTGGCAACCGCCACCATTTCAAGGACGTGTCCTTACAAACGGGTGGTTGCCACACATCTTCCACATCAACTGTGTACGTGACAGCACATCAATTCCACAACGCAGTAAGTCCGACAGCACGCTGCCAAGTTATGTCCCTAAACTATGTCAAGACATGCTGCTGGTGTCACGTCGGTATGTGCCCCAGGTTCTCTCAAGGCAGGATGTCTTTGTAGCGATTTTTCCGTCCGTTGACGGGCTTCTCTCAGCCTGTGCAGGCATACTATTCTTTAGTCTTTGAAGCATCCCTGATATTCTCACCAGTGAAAGGGCCGCGGGGCGTTTATTTCACAATGGTATACACGGATGCCCCAAACCTGGTCCCAGTCCGCGGCTTACCGGCCCAATGGCCCGGAGCTCACGAACCAAAGGCACGTACTGAGCGCGCTACGCACTTGGCCGCGGCGTCGAAATGGTCTCAACCGGGGCTGAGAATGCGCCTCTTCTGTCACTGACACAATTTAGAACCGTCTGAATTGTCACCTGGAATCACATCTTTTAGAAACCGCTACAAAATATCTATCGGCAATAAACCACAAAAAACAAAGAGAAATTAAGTGCAATGCGGCATAACCATCAAACGTTTTCGTTTCGGGGGTCACTTGCACTAAAGTTTCATTTACTGGCCTGATCAAACACTGAACTAACCTAACATAAATATTAGATAACGTAATATAGAAACATAAATATAAAATAGATAGATAGATAAATACAGTAATAAATAAATACATAGATGAATAGATAGATGGATAGAAAGATGAAATACAAATAGAAATAGAAAAATAAATAGAAATTTTGAAATATTGGAAAACTCAAGATAACCAGCATAAAGGCGTAAAGATTCCTTTCCAATTAGGGGGAGTAGGGGGGAGGGATTGCACCTCCGAACCACGGGTGTAGCTGCTTTTGGTTGTAACCTTCATCCATTATTTTTCATTTATCATAACTTGGGAGTTCAGCCCCAGAAACCAATATTAAGAAACTACCCCAGAAGACTACCCTTGAAGCCCTACCCTAAACTACCCCCGGAACTCTGCTGCCAGCTCCAAATCTGGGGTGAAAACGTTTTAGTGCATCTCGGAAGCAGGCTCAGCCATTTTTTTCTTACTGCCCCCCTCCCCCCCCCCACTTCGCCTTCTATCCTTCACCCCTACGCATTTGCAAAACTGCATCCCTGTGGTCCCACCTTTACCGATAACATGGTTCTAAAAGAACCTGAAACAATATCACTTTTGTTTTCGTGACGTCATCGTACAAATAGCTGAAAGCGTCAGCAGCCTTCATTATCTTGGCAATCATCGCCGGTGCAGAATTCGCGCTTCCTGACATGATCCCGCTTATTTAGAGCAAAACCCAGACAATATTGGTATCAATAGATGCGAACAGCATTTCTGAGCACCTCTAGCACCTTCACTTAGTTTTGTGTGCAATATGATAACCAAAAGCTTTTTATTTCATGCCTGTCCAGTCGATCACTGCGATAAGCCTGAGGTGCAACGGGCAGTGCGTGAGACGTACAACAGGGATACTTGGCCTCTACCTCGAAGCTGCTTTTCCTCTCAGTGGGAGGAAGCCCTGGAGGAATCCTTGACATGTGTCGCTCCAACGACTTACGTTTACCTCTGAAGCTACAGCTCAGGTATCCACAAAGAACAATCCTCATGGACCTGGCAAGACTTTTAAACGCTATTACCTTAAAAAGCTGACGATTAGCAACGTTCTTCTAGCCCGTCATCTTCTCACGACATGAACACAAACCCACAGCCACCCACAGCTTCGCATTGAACCCACACATCTCCGCGTAGCGAGCGACCAAGCCCACCTGTCTCGAATGACACGACGCTTTAAAACGCCGCGCAGGAACTGGTCATGTTCGCCGCAAGATGCTGTTGCCAACCATGATTCTTACGACTTGTAATAAACCTGTCCTGGATAAACACTGGACTCCTCAGGTCAGAATATGGAGTACTCTGACAGTCTTGAGACCTTGGAAAAATTGGCCTAAAAAGATCACCCTGCACAACCCACTTTACTCTAGAAAAGCATAGTCAGTACATCACAGGTCAGTCAAAATAAACAGCATGCCCCGACTCTGTAACAACAATACACCTTATCCAGAATCCTGAGCATAAGGCTCAGGCAGATGTAGACTCATCATGTGCATGATAAGCAGTATAAATGTGGGACTACCTTTGGTCTGCAGGTGGGCTGGGGATGTGCAAAAAAAATATGGCTGAGCTTTGATGTTAACCTGTGATACTGGATGGTTTTTCTGGTGTTATATATATATATATATATATATATATATATATATGCACATATTTACCTTGGCCCCATACATTTTTATAGTTCTTGATGTTGCTTGATGCGCAGTAGTGTTGTGACCGCGCGCGGTAATGGCGCCGGTGTCGCGGGCGCTGTGTGTGTGTGCGGCACTCGGGAGCTCGCCATCGTAATTATAAAAAAATTCGAAGGTAAGAGCATGAACCTACATGTTTTGTGATTATTTACGATATGTCCTGCCTTAAACACGACGAATGGTGTACAATGATTTTTCTAACGTTCGGTAGGAAAGTACACCCTGACCCCATTAACACAATGCATATATTCCGCTTAAAATCGGACGCAAGTTCATCTCACCTCCCCCATACCGCAGATCTCACACCTCGCACCGATCTCACACTAGCAGTGCGTCGCCGTTCCACATTGCCATGGACCGTAACCACGCCAGCTGAGCTTTATCCTCGGAAAAACGCTTCTTATCAGCTGATCAGTATTTGTTCCATACCCTACTATATGGTTATATATATATATATATATATATATATATATATATATATATATATATATATATATATATATATACATATATACATGTATATGTGGTTGCAGAATTTATCAACCTGCTAGCCACCTTCAAAATGTCTAGAAGAATAAACAGAATGAAATTGAATATTCTAGAATATCTGGAATAGAATATCTAGAATAACCATGCAAATGCGATGATGTTCTTGGAAAAAATCATCTGAAATTTTCCTTCCCCTCTTTTGAGCTGCGTCTCAAGCCTTGTGACATATCATGTGCCCAAAGTGCGTTTGTTTACCATTTGAAGCTCCATTTCAACACATACAAACCTTGCTTGTGTCTGATATTGTTGTGGATGATTTAAACTGATTATTACATGTTGGATGGTGTGTTTTTTGGTGAAAGCAATTAGAAGTCAATGGAATAGAACCGTTGTTCCGCATTCTCACGCGGAGTAACCTCACCAACAGCAGCCTTAGTTCCCTGACGTCATATTCCCTTTGGGTTTTAGGTAAACGAAACATGTGATACTAGCGTCCCAATCTGCAGCCTTGATGAGTGACGCGGGATGGTTTTTGTGTAAAGATTTTGTGCTATTCTTATGTAAGCTAATATATGTATGTGTATATATATATATATATATATATATATATATGTATATATATATATATATGTAGTATTCATTATTTCTGTGCTATACGCGCGGAAGAGCGGGCCTTTCTTTTCAGGATAACATTAGGCAGCTGACAGCCCAGTTGCAGATCTAGCAGGTCTGCATCATATCTGTATCGTAACAAGTATCGCGGCAAGACAAAAGACAAGACAAGACCAGACTTAATTTTATTAATTTACATTAAGAACAGCACATCTTGCTGGGCCTGAAAAAGTGGGGAGTGAGTGCGGCAACTGCTGTGAAGAACTACTGGTAAGATTCTTGTTCTTGCTGGTTCCTGAACATAATTTTAGGATGGATCTTGGTTCTTGCTGAAGTTGAATCCCCCATTTTAAGCCTGAGCTGAATCCTGGTTCTTGCTGGATCACTATGCATATTCCAGGCTGGGTCTTGGTTCTTGCTGGATCCCTTGGCATAATACCAGGCAGGATCTTGCTGGGTCCCTATGTCCAATCCAAGTTGGATCTTGGTTCTTGCTGGTTCTTTCAATTTGGTATCAGGCTGGATCCTGGTTATTGCTTGATCTTTCATCCTCATGTCAAGCTGGATCCCGCTTCCTATCGAATCTTTTGGCTTATTGTCAAGCTGGATCCTGGTTCTTGCTGGATCTTTCGACTTGTTGACAAGCTGAATCCTGGTTCTTGTTGGATCTTTCGACTTATTGCCAGACTGGTTCCTGGGTTTTTTCCTGGTTCCGGAAACGGGAACCAGGAACCGGTTCCCGGGAAGAAATCTTGGGAATCAGGCACAAGTCTGCTTGGCATGACTGACGCTTTTAACCCTCTTTAATCGGATAAACATTGAACACGTCATCAACACGCAACATTTCAAACTCACCATCAACATGAGTTAAGCAGGCTGGGGCAAGAATAACGCGTTCCCAGAAAACAATTCTGCCCGTGTATGAAATGCAGACCATATGCAGCAGAACGATTACAACCCCGAACAAACTCATAATTTCAATGCATATGTTAATATGCACCGGACATAAACAGGCATTTATCGAAACAAATGGCAGAAGTCTTCCGCCCTTCGTTTTAATAAAAGCATGCTGACGAAATATAAACGCATCTACATCTCCATTCTCCTCTTCTTTTTATCCGAGGAATAAGACTATTACAGCTGTCTTATCTCTGTGAATAATGTTCCTGGCAAATGCACTAAACATAAACAAAATAAAAATGCGGCACAGATATACAACACGATTCCGGATAATGACATGTCTACAGAATGCCGGAGGCGGAGAAAGCAGAAATAAGACCAAACGGGTCGTGGTAGTGGACGAGCAAGGCGACATGCTGTCCGCGTCGAGACGTGCAGACATGTACCGGAGCCTTTGCCTCCCGGCCAACTGATAGTAGCACGGTGTAGGACGGAAGGCGACATCTGCCTTCTAAGCATCAGAACCACGCGTCCCATAGACGTGCTTGCCAGTTCCAGCAAGCGTACCGGGATGTATACTGCAAGTAATTTATACGCATTGCGGGATGTTTTCGTAAGGACGCATCGTAGGTCAGCTTCACCCTCTCCGGCCTACGAAATCGTTAATGCTTTTACACAGTTGCGATGCAAGGCTGCCCGTAACACCGGATACGCCTTCGCTGTTACGTGTTTTTATGCCAAATTTATTGCCTTCTCACATGTTTTGTTTTCATGCAAGCCTTCGTTGGGCATAAATCTCTGAACTATGCCAACATATCTCAATAGAAATGGGATGTAGGAATAAAGCTAGCCACTTATTCCACAGTCTTGGTCTTACCTTGGTCGGTTTAGTGAACTGTGTTCTTTGCCAGTTCCTGGACTGTACGTCTTAGGAACAGGGGACGTGCCTGGGTAGGACCATCTCAGATTCTGGGCGGGCAGACCGGAACTAACAGCGCAACAGTGCGGGAGCCACGGCTGTCGTGCCTGATGTAAGACGTACGGTGCTTGCAGCTGCAGCTTACATCATTCATGAATTTAACTTTTAGGATTTGTTTCATTTCAGTTCATCGAGTCGAAGTTCAATCTGCTCGCAAAGCCATATCTTTAACAAATCGTAGATTGGCACAGACAGTGTTTTCATCCTTATTCGATCAATTCGTTCATTCTGATCCATTGCAACAAAAGTCGGAAAATAAAGTATACAGGGACAAAAGTAAACAAATTTCCTGGCGTCTCAGAATTTTCCCACTCGATTCGTTCAGTGGAATGTTTTAGGTGTTCATCATCATACTCAACAAAAGCCAACGTTGTCCCGGCCCGCTGCTCTCGGGAAACATATTCTTATGCAGCCCACCCCAATCTGTAGATTTATCTGTCAGCTTAAGACCGATGCAGCCCGTGCGCTAACCTAGAGATATAATGTCGCGCGCCTCCTCTGCATTGACCTTTCCTTTTTGGGGCGGGATTGAGTTGTGCCTGAGAGTCGGGCAGACACGCTGCCACGGCCGCTGGCCAACCCGGGCGCCGTTGCGCCACGTAAGCCGGCTTAAACGACAACAGCCGTTCGGTGACCGGTTCTGCCGATAACCGTAATCACCCCAGCCTGCGGAAGAGAGAACGGTGGGACTCCCTGCCTCTCACACGAACACTCGGGCACAACTCAGCCTTTCTAGGTATGCCCAGGCATACACCAGCTGGTGCGCAGGTCAATTACCCGATTCCACTGGAGGGAGGCGGATTAGAGTCCTTTCGGCCAATAGTGATGCCGACCAATCGAGGGCTGTAGGGCTGAGAAGAGACAATGTCGTTCTTACGCTTTTCTCAGTTTTAAGTGGGTTAGGCCCCTTGAAGAATGCGATAAGTAGCCTGTCCATGCCGCGGTCTTCGTGTGGGATTTCGGCTTACAAGCCCCACTCCGCGCAGGGACCCCTCGTTGGGGTTTGTGCGGACGTTCTGGCGGACTCCCGCTAGCTCGGTACTAAGCCGGCTCACAGCTGACAGGCCCAGCTCTTCTCGGTGAGACGGACGGCGTTGCGACGATTCTGGGCCAAACGGTGGGTTTGTAAGTTAGAGCGGGCGAGGGTCCGGTCCGAGAGGATGCAAGCCCAGGTCTAAACGGATACAGCCTGAGGAAGCCCAGCGAACGCCTGATCATGTTGGGTTCGATGCGTGTGGAGGACAACGCCAAGACCGAGCAAGCGACGAGTGGAGAGCGCGTAGCGAGTCGCTTTCTGCCGCCTGCTACAGACAGCTCAGATCCACCCTCGTCCGCAGCAAACCCCGCTCAGCCTCACGAGTAACCCAGGCGACTACACCGCGTGCCAATGGGCGATGGTTGAAGTCTGCAGCATGCAAACCCATTTTCTACGCCAGTGCTGTTGTGGAATTACTCGCATTTGTTTTGCTGTGAGACCGCTATTGCGCTATTGGGATGAAAGTGCGCTCCAAATGCGCCGCCTTACAGTTGCAGTCAGCTGCTTGCGTGCGTAATAATTTACAACTTTTCTCATACTGGCAGTCACCAATGACCTTCCACGTGACATCCCCAACAGGCCAGTAAATCAGGGCATGTTCTTATCCCATGTTACGAATGAGCTTTCCTTTTGTTAATGAAGAACGAGACCCTGGCACCACTTGGACTGCCTACTCTTGCGCCATCTCCCGGTCAGGCGGCCAACCAGAACATCGTCGGAAGCTGGTTTTTATCTGCCGATTTAATTCCAATTCAACAGATATGATCATATATTTCTAAGAAGTAGTTAGTTGATTAAGCACTGACATTTGACAGGACGATTGTGAGGCACATAGTATGACTACATTTCTGCATAGTGAGCGCGGAGTTCTGACGGAACAAGAGTCATCGGCACAACATTGATACCGTTCACAGAACCTGGTCATCTTGCTTTTCTTGGTCATCACATCACGCCGTAATCATCGTAGCGATACCAGTGACGTACTGGGGCGCATGCACACGGCATGTTTGTGCGTGCACACAGGATATACCTGGAGCTGAGCTTCCAAGCTGCCTCGACTAACTGGAGAAGAGAACGAACCCGGGCTCACGTGAGGCCAAAGCCAGTCATCTTCACTCTGCACGCGCCCGAGCTGGCAGACACACACTACACCGCCAGCGGGATCATCACTCGAGTAACGGCCCCAAAATAACCGAGCTGGCAGTCTACGAGTCAGCGTCGTCTACCGTCTGTTGGTCCGCAGCTCGAGCAGCTGTTCAACGGTGGTGAAGCCGGCGTGGCCCATCATTTGGCGGAACAGCGAGTTCTCGTTCTCCATCAGCGCCAGCGGCGTGTCCAGCTCGACGACCTGCCGGCAAGGCCGAGATCAGTCACACAGGGGCGCCACAGTGGTCCGCACCCACTCCGTGACAGTGGAACGAACCCAGTCCATTACAATGAAACGCGCCCAGCGGGAGCCGTATGAGGGTCGAGACCCTGCGTCTTGTTGCTTTGTGTCCGCTGCAAACTTTAGGACCTGACATTTTACACTCAGTATTTTGGAGCATGGGTGTCTACAAAACGACACTCTGTGACAAATAGCTGCCAGGACGCAGCCCACCTTGCCGGCGTCCATGACGACGATCCTGTCGTAGCCGACAACGGTGTCAAGCCGGTGGGCGATGGTGATGACGGTGCAGGCGCTGAAGTTGTCCTGGATGGTGCGCTGGATTGCGTGGTCTGTCTCCACGTCCACCGACGCTGTGGCCTCGTCCAGCAGCAGGATTCGGTTCTGGAGCAGCAGCGCGCGTGCCAAGCAGATCAGCTGCTTCTCGCCGACACTGAGGAGGCGCACCGCGAAATCATTCACGACTCGCTGCTTCACTGCGGGGCACTTTCAGTGGCAGACTTCTGCACGTCTCCCACAGAGGCGGGCGCGAGGCCAGGCCACATTTCCACATAGACAAACCTGAGTCTACGGTATGTGCCTTGCTGGACATGGCATGATTGGCATGCTTAGGCATGCTTGCACGAAGTTCCAGTCCTGCCGGCCACAACCCGCCCCTGACAGGGGCGATCGCGAGGCCACGCCATATCTCTGGCTGAGACTGGTGCCAGGCTACCACAGGTCACTGGCTGACGCGGTGGTGGGGCCAGAGCCCGTCCCGGATCGAGACGAGCGCAGACGGAGCCTGCCGTACCTGAAGTTGTCACCGGCCGAGGTGACCTTCATCTGAAGCTGCTGATCCGCCCGCGACACGTTCTTCTTCAGGTTGGCCTTCTTTAGTATAGTCCACAGCTTTCGTCGGGGTACTCGTTGAACGGAGCCAGGTTGTGTCTAACGTCAAAATCAGGCAGCTGCGGTCGTGAACTAACTAGCAGATCACACATGAATGACACAAACGCCTCAGCCATGTCAGCGGGCTAATAACACCAGCAAAAAGCTGGTGGCCAGGTGATGGACGTCAGCGGGCACTAGCGCACATGAAGGACATGGTTTAGCAGGTGTGACGTCACTCATAGCAACTTTCATAAAATTGATAATTTCATTATCCTTTTATCGTCGAAAGATGACCGTTTCGAAGGCCTTGCCTACCAATGTTTCCCACATTCTCCTCCGTTCACTGTATACACAACGCGATGAAATGATTCCACCACGAGATAGATTTAATTTGGCCACATTTCCAGGGCGTAGCGCGAGCTGTCGAGCTGCGCTGCCCTGCACGCACGGCACGGCAGCAGCTGCTGCTTCTGACCAGACCAGTACCTGATGGTGCCAGAGAAGAGCACCGGGTCCTGCGGGATGACGTCGATACGTGACCTCAGGTCATGCAGCCCCATCGGCCGGATGTCGAGGCCGTCGATCAGGATGGTGCCCGTCTCCACCTCCACCATACGCAGCAGCGTGGAGATGAAGGTCGACTTGCCTGTGTCAGCAGCATGTGCCGCTCATAGACGGCACACAAACTCATCGCCACTGGTGCAGCGAGACGACTCTCCCTGCACGCCATCAACGATCACAGGGCTAATGTGAGCTTTGCCTTGGCTTGTGTGCCTTCAATTTATGCAGACCATTCCCAGATAGCTACGGGAAATACACGCTCAACAAGCCACCGTTGAAACATGGAATCTCGATATGAGACATCTCTTCTGGCGTTAACCTTACCAGCCACGGCTACAAAAAAATCCATCACGGGTTCATCTACAGCACACGGTTGACTTCCTGCAAAACAACACGGATCTAACAACATTACCAAGTCCAAGAAAGACCGTCCCAGGGCTGCGCACGCACACCAACACGCCACACGCTTTGGCCCGAGCCCGCCTCGCCGCGTGTCGCACCTGCGCCCGTGCGTCCGACAACGCCGACCTTCTCGCCAGGCTGCACTTGCAGACTAATGTCGTGCAGCACTCTGGGCAGCTCAGGCCGGTAGCGGAGGCACACGCCCCGCAGCTCCACGCCGCCGCGCTGCGGCCAGGAGGCCGGCGGCGCGCGTTCCGGTACGTGCAGCGGCGCCTCGTAGTCCAGGCTGCGGATGTACTCGTCGCAGCGCTCCACGGACGTGAGGCGGGCGCTGCAACGAGCGGAGAGCCAGCATGAACGTCGATAGCAAAGAACAAGCAGTCAGTAGCGCGACGACCACATCACATAGGCAGCGGTCAGCTATCACGTAACTCAGCACAGCGATCACGTCACATCAACAGCGATCAGCCACCACGTAACTCAGCACAGCGGCCACGTCACATCAGCGGCGGACGGCGATCATATAACTTAGCACAGCGATCATGTCACATCAGCAGCGATCAGCCATCACATAACTCAGCACGGCGATCATGTCACATCAACAGCGATCCGCCCCCACATAACTCAGCACAGCGATCATGTCACATCAACAGTGATCCGCCATCAGAACTCAACGTAGCGATCATGTCACGTCAACAACGATCAGCCATCACATGACTCTGTACAGCAATCATGTCACATCATTAGCAATCATGCCACATCAATAGCGACCAGCCATCACATAACTCAGCACAGTGATCATGACACATCGACACCGATCAGCCATCACATAACTCAGTACAGCAACCATGTCACATCAATAGCAATCATGTCACATCAGTGGCGGTGAGCCATCACATAACTCGGTACAGTGATCATGTCACATCAATAGCAATCAGCCATCACACAACTCAGCACAGTGATGATGTCACATCAACAGCGATCAACCATCAAATAATTTTGGACAGTGATCAGGTCATATCAACAGCGGTCAGCCACCACATAACTCAGTACAGCGATCATGTCACATCCATAGCGATCATGCCACATCAATAGCGATCAGCCATTACATAGCTCAGCACAGTGATCGTGTCACATCAACAGTGATCAGCCATCACATAACTCAGGTCAGCGATCATGCCACATCAACAGCGATCAGCCATCATATAGTTCTGCACAGTGGTCATGTCATATCAACAGTGATCAGCCATCACAGCTCAGCACGGCGATGATATCACAACACCAATCAGCCATCACATAACTTAGTACAGCGATCATGCCACATCAGCAGCGGTTGGTGGTTGCATAGAACCGATCTGCGATCACATCTACGGCGATCAGAGATCACATCGATGCTCTGCTGGACAGTTTAGCCCACGCTGCACTCCCGCAGGGAGCCAACGAGATGAGGGGAGAAACAGACTAGATTATGGCCGGGAAGAAGATTACAGCCGGTAAACATGGAAAAACAAGGGTCATCATCCACTGTCAAGTAGAAAAAGTCGAACAAGCCAGACGGCCAGACGATTTCTCACACCATGCAGCTCACCGCGGCCGGGCGTCGACCGCATGCCCGGACATCCACCCCAGCTCACCTCCGCGTGCCCGGACACACACCTCATCGGCTTGCCCGGACACCCACCTCAGCTCACCCGGACGCCCACCTCAGCTTGCCCGGACACCCACCTCAGCATACCCGGGCACCCACTTCAGCTTGCCCGGACACCCACCTCAGCTCACCCGGACACCCACCTCAGCTTGCCCGGACACCCACCTCACCTTGCCCGGACACCCACCCCAGCTCACTCGGACACCCACCTCAGCTTGTCCGGACACCCACCTCAGCTGGCCCGGACACACCTCAGGTTGCCCGTACACCCATTTCAGCCCCCCCGGACACCCACCTCAGCTCACTCGGATGCCCACCTCCGGTTGCCCGGACACCCACCTCAGCTCCCCCGGACACCCACCTCAGCTTGCCTGGAAACCCACCTCAGCTCGGCCGTCATGCGGATCCAGGCGGAGATGAAGGCGACGGAGCTGAAGACGGCTGAGAGGCAGAGGCCGACCATGGCGGGCGAGGCGTCCCGCGCGAACACAACGAACAGCGCCACGGCCGTGATCATGACCGTGCCGAGCTCTTCCAGCCGCAGGCAAAACCACAACGACGACAGGCGGAACTGCATGTTGAACGAGGTATGTCGGTCCAACAGCTCCTCAAACCTGGCGGTCACGGCGTCGACAGGGCGGTCACGTGCGGCCAGAAGTCACGGGCCACCGGACGCGGCGTACGTCATGACGTAGCTATCGTGGGACTGATCATCATTCCCCGTTTAATTTCCGTCACTTGTCCCGGTCAAATGTGGCTGTTGTCATCTCATCCACAGCATATGACACTAGCCAGTCGGGCAGCAACGGCTCTTCAAGCTGGTCATGCATGATTGAAACCGGAATGCCTGGCAGGCTATCTGTTATCGCTGGCATATGATACCACATATATATCATGCAATGGCATATGCTACTACACTCACCCAGCGCATATGCTTAGCACAGGCCTGCCTGAGTGGTCTAGGACGTATACAAATACGTGGTTAGCCATCGTATCAGGGCAAACTATGCCAGGCAAAGTTTGACAGGTATCAGACAAACCGCATCAATGCAGAATGCAAGGGCACGATCCTAATTTGTTTAATGGGCCAAAACAAATAAATGAAAAGTGTCCTGGTTCGCCCTGCCCTGGTTCGAGCCCTAGTTGACCCGATTGCCAAGTTCTGTAATACATCATGCGGCACGCACAGCGTCATAAATTGCATACAGTGAAGACGACGCTGAAATTGGGCCCGCCTGTCATAAGGCGCCGAAGAAACCACGTCTCCTTCCACTCCACAAGCTTGCTGCAAAAGCTTAGATGCCATTAAATGCGCATTTCACTTCACAAGAACCAGACCAGAAGAAATAACTCAACACCATCAGCAGCATAACATTTCGCTTATACCAAACGAGAGGTGCGATACGACGCGAGCTACGGACCTATTTCACCATCACATTTTCACGCATCGTATTAGAAACCCATGTTCTATGGCATGGCTTTAATACATCCGCGTGCAACGTGCATCTGTTGCGACTGATGGTGGGTACGAGCTCTTGTTTTATAACCGGGGTGAGGTAGACTACACAAAAAAATCCCCATCATACTAGGATTGAGAGTCACAGAAACTGCGGTACGGGCATCTGACGGGAGTCCCTGCTCCTCCCCGTCCCATCCCCATCCCAATCCCCATCCCCATCCCAATCCCCATCCTCATCCCCATCCCCATCCCCATGCCCATCCCCGAGCCCGTGCCCGTGCCTCAGGACCACAGCATGTTACACAGCTCCCTCCGTCATGTGCCCCGACTCCGGACATGGCCCAAGGAGCGCCTGACGCACCTCTGGGTGAAAACCTCCTCGCGACCGAACGCGCGGATGACAGGCAGGCCAGCCAACGTCGACGCGATGTGATGCACCACCGGCGAGCGCATCAGGTTCTCCATGTCCTTGGTCACGCGTATGGCAGAGTTTAGGCCGCGACACAGGAAGCAGTACAGCGCTGCGGCGGCCGGGGCGGCGCGGTCAGCAGCGCGCTAAACAGCAGCGCGCCGCGGCGGCAGGGGCGCTGCCGTCAACAGCCCGTTCACCAGTAGCACGCCGCGGCGGCAGGGGCGCTGCCGTCAACAGCCCGTTCACCAGTAGCACGATGCGGCAGGGGCGGCGCCGTCGACAGCCCCATCACTAGCAGCACACCGCAGCGGCAAGGGCGGCGCCGTCAACAGCCCCATCACCAGCAGCACGCTGACGCGGCAGGGGCGGCGCCGTCAAAAGCCCGATCACCAGTAGCGCACCGCAGCGGCAGGGGCGGCGCCGTCAACAGCTCCATCACTAGCAGCGCGGTGAGGCGGCACGGGCGGCGCCGTCAAAAGCCCGATCACCAGTAGCACACCGCAGCGGCAGGGGCGGCGCCGTCAACAGCCCGTTCGCCATTAGCACGCTGCGGCAGGGGCGGCGCCGTCAACAGCCCCATCACTAGCAGCACGGTGAGGCGGCAGGGGCGGCGCCGTCAACAGCCCGATCGCCAGCAGCACACCGCAGCGGCAGGGGCGGCGCCGTCAGCAGCCCGATCGCCAGCAGCACATCGCACGGACGGGTTCGACTGGCGTAGGCTGCAGCGAGTGGTAATGCCATGCATATTATCCCGTAGTCGCAGTCAGTCACACTGACGAGATTCCTGAGCACCTGAGCACATACTGCGGAAGCGGCCCCTCAAATCTACAGCAAAGGAAGTGCGTGCGCGCGCAGCTACACATAATCATAATATATAAGTAGCATAATTAACTATATAATTATAATTATTTTATTATTATTTTATTAATCATATCATTATAGTATATATAATGCTATTATATAATTACAATTATCATAATTATCATATACAATAATAAGTTAAGGGAATGATATCGCGGTTCTCCTACGGGGACATGGTATGCAGGCAGGCCACACCAAGAAACGGACGATCACATATGCGTCAGCCTGGGCGATTACACCACTTGAAAAGGCAGGGCTCTGTAATTCTCACAAGCAGAGTACGCTGTGTTGTCATTGTGGTTTTGCGATCCGCGCAGCAGCTGAGGCTATGTAGCATCGAGTGCGCTGCATGCGATTTAAAGTCATATGCAACGGTGATGGAATCCTGTGGCGATAGCTTGTCCTAGGCTTACCAAGCACTACGATGACCAGCAGTATGTATTCCGGGAAGGAGGCAGTGGGGATCAGAAACAGTGACAAGACCAGGGATCCTCCTTCTAGCAGAAGCTCGAATAAAGTTGGAATCTTGTTATCCACTGCAAGAAAACGACATAAGTATGCCGCATAGCGTGCAACGTGACATGATTTTCACACAGCCCGCGCCTGATTACCATATTTTGAATACCAGAGGTGTGAGACACAGCCAAACACGATTATTGGGACTGGAGAATGACCCTGGCACCTGAAGATCATTGATGATCACAGCGTGCTACAATGTACTGACGTCCGCTCGTCCCTGCACCGGCCCGGCTGCACGTGCAACACCCGTCCGTAGCTGGAGCCGGTGCCCACTTACGTTCATCCAAGTCACGCGAGAACCGGTTGAGGATGCGACCGCCGGGATTAGCGTCGAAGAAGCTCATCTTACAGCGCATCAGCCCGTCAAACATTCGATTGTGGACGGCCGTGGCGCCCTTGATCACGCGCAGTGCGACTCCCAAACCTGCAACAACAGACAACGTAACGGCATGGTCTGCAACAGTAGCGCAGGCTGGGGCACGGGGGGCACTTGCCCTCCATCCCTTTGGTTCCGAGGGGCTCTTCGGGCCCCTCGGAACCTATCATTACGGACCCGATTCGAGCGGGCCCTGAAGGCCAGCCGAAGGCCTCATTCAGGGGTCGCGGCCCGCAGGGTCGGGCACTCCAGTGCCAGCCAGAGGGCCCTGCGCGCTGATCAGGGACCCACTGAATCGATAAGGGCCTATATTTCGGTCAGATGCCACCGGCAACGCACAGTCGGCTCCGTGGTGGCATGGCTCTAAGGGCCCATTTCCCAAGCAGGGACAAAGCAGGAGCCAGAGATTTACATCGCTCGGGCCACAGAGCGTCTAACAGGGGCCCTGTGTTGTCAAGGGACGCCGAGTCGGCCGGAGGCAGTGTTCGAGGAGACCCGAAGAGCCTTAAGTGCCCGCCGGGTCCGACGATCATCTGCCAGATTGGAGGGTCCTAGGGCATACAGGGCTGGTTGGAGTCTCATTCAGGGGCACCGACCTGCAAACACGGACACACAAATAACGGTCAGAAGCCTTTTGTACCGACCGCGGACCCGTTGAGTCGATATGGACCTATATGTTGGCCAGGCATCACCGTACCACAAAGTCGGCCCCTTGTCGGTATGGGCCTGAGGACCCCCTTCCTAATCAACTGTAAGGCCGGAGCCAGTGATTTACACTGGTCGGGGACCTTGAATCTGTCAAGAGCCCACAGCTCCCAACAGAGGGCCCTGTGCTCGCAAGGGCCCGAGTTAAGCAAGGGAAGTGTTCGGCGAGGCCCAAGGAGGAGCCCTGGGGGGAGACCGAAACCGACGATCAGAGGCTCAACGTTGTTGGGGTTGGTACCCTTGGAGTTGGAGTACCTTCCAACGAGTTGGAGGGCACGACGCATCGAAGGACTGGCTGTAAGTCACATAAAGAATCGCGGTCTGTAGGGTCGCGACCTGAAATATCAGTCAGAGATTGTCTTGCACCGTTTTAGGAACACCTGAGACAATGCGTTTGTCCAAGTCGGTCACAGACTGCGAACATCGAACAGTCGGCTCCATGTCCGTCTGAACCACTGAGACCCATTTCCCAAGCAGAAACGAGGCCGAAGATTTTCACCGTTCGGGTCAATGACACTGCGAAGGGCCACTGTGCCAAATAGAGGCCACAGTGCCGAACAAGGATCCTTTGGCGACAAGGGGCACCAAATCGCAGCGGTGTTCGAGGAAACCCGAAGAGAGGCCGAAATGTCTCACGAGACCAAAGATCAACGGCCCAATGAAATAGCTGACGGGTCCAAAGGGCTGGCTGTAGGTCACATCAAGGACCCCCGCCCATAGGGCCTTAAATCACCTTAGGGTGATCTTAAATGTCGATAAGATGATCTCTTGCACCGATGGGAGCCCATGAGATAAAGCGTTCCTCTATTTCGGACAGAGGTCACGAACAACGAGTAGTCGGTGCCGTGTTGAAATGAGCTCCGGGTGCCCACGCTTTTTAGGGACAAGGCCGGGCCCGCGATTTACATTGTTCAGGCGCGCAACAATGACCATCGTAAAGAAATGACTCTGAATTTCTTTCCAAATTTATTTCTAGAGTTCAGAGGACACACTGGGTGAATCTGTTTCGCAACTATGAGGTTGTCTTTTGGACAAACTAACAGTTAAGGCAACGCGGAAAAACGATTTTACCTTTACCCTTCTAGTTTTGCTACTAGTTTCCAGCACCATTTCGCTGTGCTGTAAATGCCAATACACTTTTGTCATCAATCTTAAACCCGCACAGGTGAAGCATGCGCCTAGAATATCTCTAAGTGCACGATTTGGTGTCGACATGCGTTCAAAGACGTTCTCTCGGAGGTGTCACGATGTTCATCCACCTGTTGGCCACAGCCTAGTGAAAGCCGCGGAGCCAACGCTGTGCGGCCTAAGGAGACTGCAACGCTTGGTGTCGGGTTTTTGTTTCTTAGATATGCCAGCGCGCATGCTAAAAACTATGTTACATTATTTACACTAAGTCATTTGAAGGAATGTTGAACATATCCAGAGAAACATGGCTTGGCCACGTTTATACATACTGTTTACCCATTTTTATCTTCAATCTACATTTGTGGAATCCTTGTCATCTCTGTACACCCGATATGGAAATTCTGACGAATTTCTTTTGGTCTAAAAAGAGTCCACTGCACAGCTGTAACACGAATAGCGCCAGCGATTTATTTCGTGCGGTCATATAACGCATGATTTTCAGTTTATTTATTATAAACTGAAGACAAAATTGATCTTATGGTAGCGTCTGACTAATGAAAAGCATGTTTTCTGACTGAAGAAAAGCATGCTTTCGGCAACAAATGGGCCGTATCCGGCACTTCTTGAGGAGGGACTCTTTTCCTGTCTTTGAGAACCCTGTACCGCTTGCCAATGTCCGTGAAGTTAATGTTTTATCCAGCGATTTATTCAGCGACGAGTTTTCATTTCTCTGAAAAAGTCTCCAAGTCAACTGTAGCAGGAGAACATCGAAAATGACCCTTATTTTGCAATATCATGTGACCTTCGAGGTCCAAAGCGGTGTTAAAGGACGTGGAACTGGATGTCACCCAAAAATTACCGACCCATTTAAAAACCTTAACCATCAAAATATTTTCAAGCGCAATAGCCAGCATCTGTCGAAAAGTTCTGACCTGTCAAAGTTTCTCTTCAAGGTCAAACGCGAGCTCAAAGGACGGGGAACGCTAAATCACCAAAAAATTACCGGCCGACTTGAAGCTTACGAACACCAGAATATTCACCACAGAAAAAGCTGTCGTCCGTAAAAAAGTCCTGACCTCTTAAGATCACTGTTCAAGTTCGAACACGGGCTCATAGGACGGGGAACTCGATGTTACCCAAAAATTAGCGGCCGATTTTAAACTTACAAACATTAGAATATTCATCTTAAATATTCACTTTAAAGAAATGCTACAACATTGACCTTGAAGGGCGACCTTGAGCGGTCAGGACTTTTTCACTGACGCTAGCTGTTGCGCTTGTAAATATTTTAATTCCTCTTGTTTTCAAGTCAGCCAATTTATTTTGGGTCATATCGAGTTCCCCGTCCTTTGAGCCCGCCTTTGACCTTGAAGGGTGGCCTTGAAAGTTCAGGGCTTTTTGAGGGACGATAGCTCGTTCTATGGTGAATATTCTGATGCTTGGGAGGTCAAAATCGGCCGGTAATTCTTGGGTGATACGGAGATCACCGTCCTTTGAGCCCGCGCTTCACCTTGAAGGATTATGCTTGAGAGGTCAGCACTTTTTGACGAACGCTAATTACTTTTGTGGTGAGCATTCTAATGTTTACAAGTTCAAAATCGGCCGGTAATTTTTGAATGATATCGAGTTCCCTGTCCCTTGACCTGCGTTTGACCTTGAAGGGTTATCATGAGAGGTCAGGCTTTTTTGACGGATACTAGTTTTTTGTGATGAATATTTTAAAACTGGCAAGTTTAAAATCGGCCCGTAAATGTTGGATAACATGGAGCTCCCCGTCATTTGAGTAGGTCACTTAGAGGTCAGGACGTTTTGGTGAACGCTAGCTATTTTTGTGGCGATCATTCTGGTGTTTGTAAATTTCGAATCGCCGGTAGTTTTTGTGTGATATCAAGCTCCCAGTCATTTGAGCCCGCGTTTGACCTTGAAGGGTGACCTTGAGAAGTCAGAGCTTTTTGACAGACTGTAGCTCTTGTGCTTATAAATATTTTTGTGCTTGTAGTTTTCAAATCGGCCGGTAATTTTTGGGTGATATCGGGTTACCCGTCCTTTGACCCAGCCTTTGAATGTTTTTTTTTATTTCTCGTGCTACAGTTGACCTTGAAATCTTGACATGAACATGGGAACTCGCCGCTGAACAAATCGCCGAATAAATCGCTAACTTCACGGACACCCCTTGCCAAGGCTCTGGCTGCGCCCGTGGTCTGCAATGCCGTCAGGGTAACAGCTAGGCTTGCGAGGTCGCGGTTGTAGCCCCAGACCATTGTCATCGGAACCGCACCACCTAGGAAGCCACGTTTTCAAGAGAGATGCACAGCTGGCCCTCTCCCTTATTCAGCTGCCATAAGTATTCACATGCATGGGTATAAATTTCGCTAATCAAAAAGTCAAGGAAGACACGTAAAAATGAGTGGGTTGAAAACACGCGACGCTGCTACACACCATGCGAACTTTTCGTGTGCCCGCTGCGCATCAACTTGCCTTTTTCAGTCCAGCCTGTTGAGATATATCCCCCCCCCCCCCCGTGCCTGATTCCCAAATTCCGCAACCTCCCCCGCACCCAGACCTGTAATTCCGGGACAAATAATCCATAACAACGACTCTTAAATGATAACACAAACACGACCAAAAGCAACCTGATCATTAAAAAGACCACCACGTGCCAAAAAAGGCATGGCTTTCTCGTCAGATACAACATGAGCTTTCCTTTAAAAACGCCGATTGTGCACATAAGCACGGCCATCATGGAGTAGATGATCATGTGCTGGTTTAGGTCCGGATTGTCGTTGATGACACCGGCCAGCTGCTCCGCAGTGTAGGTGACGTTGTACCCCGTCTGATTCCGTAGTCGTTCCTCCTGAAAGACGCAAAGCAACGATGGAAGAAGCCAAGCATTGACGACGTAAGGCAGCGACTACAAAGCAAAACGCCGCGACTGGCGACGGCCTCTCCGCTTAGTTTAAAACCAGACGCTATCAAACTTGAAAGCACATCCCAGGCACGAAAAACAAGCTGAAGACTACTTTCTATCGCATCAGCTGTTCCTCCTTGCGCTAAGGCTCAGCGCTGTTGCTGCGCGGCGCCGGCGGGCGCGATGATGCCTCAGCAGTCAGTCAGTATACGCACCATGAGTCCGTCGCAATGATGACTCAGCAGTCAGTCAGTATACGCACCATGAGTCCGTCGCTATGATGACTCAGCAGTCAGTCAGTATACGCACCATGAGTCCGTCGCGATGATGACTCAGCAGTCAGTCAGTATACGCACCATGAGTCCGTCGCCGGTGTCCAGCCAGTACTGAAGGTAGACGCCGATGGCCGTACGGCTGAGGCTGAAGAGGATGATCAGCAGCACGACTACCATCATAACGGCCAAGCCGGCCGGCTTCACGTACAGGTACAGCAGGCTGAAGAAGCCCAGTTTGGGCACAAAGCTCTCCTCCCCCGTCAGACGTTTCTCGATCTTTTCCCCTTCTGGCGGGCACACAGCGGGCGGCGGTACAGCAGGTGAAATCCGAGCAAGAGGCGCGCGGCCCCCGCCACACTCCTCGGGCCCATCATCTGCTGCCAGACAACACGACGTGCCGGCCCAAACGCTTGCAACACCCGACTAGCGCAACCGCCATGCACTCCATTATCAGTGTAATGCGCGTCTCTTGTACCGTGCCGCCACACAGACCTAATGCCCTCCCCCCCCCCCCCACACTAATAGAAATACCGGCCGCGCGAACCCTGCAAAATCCCGTTACTGAAATACAGCCGATATTCGGCCAGCGTGCACCAGCACCCACGCACCCTCCTCGGCGGTGCCGCCGGGTTTCGGGTGTCCATTTCCAGGTGTCAAGTGTTTATTCGGCGTCTGGTGAGCCGACGTGGTCGTGTCGTAGCTGACCAACTTGAAGTACTCCCCGCGACGCTCCATCAGCTCAGCGTGCGTGCCTCGCTCCACCAGACGGCCTTCCTTCATCATCAGCACCTCGTCACACTGCGACAGGTACTGATGGCAGACAGAAGCAGATATCGTTTCACTGGCTGGGGCGAAGTTTCGCAAAATGAACTGATGGCTTAACAGTAAAAAATGGCAAAACCTTTCCTCGAAATAATCAGCAAACTGATTTCGTCCCGATTTGACCCATTTTCTTATAAGACTTGGAGGGGCTCAAGCCCAAGCCGGTCCGCACACCCCAACCCCAACTGAAAGCTACACCCCGGAATATATGGTTCAACAGTGCATATAAACTGAGAAACTCCGCACATGCACACCAATATCATACACTGGGCGTATTTTGGATGACCAGCAAGTACGCCTGGGAGATGGTGCCTCGATGAAGGAGATCGTTAAATCGGATGAAGCTAACCTACCCCGCATTTCGCTGAATTAACTATCCCATTTATGCGTTCACGTCTCATGTATGAAGCATGTCTTTGCTCATCGACCCGTGATATGTCCTGATACAACTGTCCAAAAGTAGGTGTCTGACACAACTACACGTCTATATCTCTCACCAATGAAAAAGGCTTCTGAGCGCAGATACATTACGAACGCACGTCCGTTACAACAAGTTACAAATGCGTGTGTCCTCTGAACTGAGCCACACGCATTTGGGGTAAATATTTCATCGAATGAGTCACTTCCAATTGGCAATCAACATCTTTCAATCCAGTATCAGCATGTTGTGGAAAAAAACATCCGAGGGTGGCACACTGGCGCAATCGATGCGCCTCTAAATACCAAATACAATCATCACCATCGGAAGGTGCGTTCACAGCGGTGAGCTGAAAAGTTCTAAAGAACGTCTCAGGAAAAATTTGATTTGTGGTACCATGAAGGTTACAGTTGTGGTCTACAAGTTCGCTTATTCAATCACAAGTGTTGCAAGTACGGTTGGACACATCTTTTTCCGACATGCAAAACGCATTGGTACGGAGACGCTAGTCTAGGTTGTAACTTCGAAATCCATCGTGGACGCAGCTGTCCACCGCACACCCACCCGAACCACAACACGACTGATATCAATGTCCGTCAAATTAGCGTCGCATCCGTGTGCAACTTCAGCATCGGGTCCTGATTTCCAACAGCAGCCTTCGCAGGTCAAACACATTTAGTTATTCACGAATCTGCAATCACTTTTCTCTAAGTCACTAATCACTACATCTAAGTCACATAGTCATTGTGTGACTTTGTAATTACACTTCCCCGAAAGAAATCCGAAAAAATAAGGAATCAAATAAAATGGGTGTGGTATAATGATGTGATAAAATGCCACCATTTTATAATCTCGTGATGTTCAATTTCGACACACCTACACAACATTAATCGTCAAGGTCAAACTTCAAGGCCATATCAAATTGGATAACCTGATAATTCTTTGCTCCTGAATAGGGTCTAGGAAAAAGGGTGTTATATTGATACTTGTAATGCCCTCTTGCATCGCATCTGCAAAAATCAACATTCAAGGTTACACACACAGTGTGCTCCATATATATATATATATATATATATATATATATATATATATATATATATATATATATATATATATATATATATATATATATATACACACATATATATATACATATCTATATGTATACATCTACATAAATATATATATATATATATATATATATATATATATATATATACACATATATATACATATCTATATGTATACATCTACATAAATATATATATATATATATATATATATAATACAATAGTCGACGAAAGGGAACATTATGATCATCAATATGATGCCCATTTTATGACATTTCTGAAGTGAACAAGTAAGTGCATGAGTACCGCGTTTTGCATGATTTTGACCTCTAACCTTCAGACCTAGATTTTGTTTGTGCGAGAAAAGCCGATACCACATGCATCAGGATGATATCCGTTCTATGCCGTTTCTTGAATAAACGAATATGCGTTGGGCTACCGCTCTTTAATGGCCTTGAACTTTAAGTCTGATTTTTTCTTGCGACGAAGGTGGGCATCACGAGCATTGCTATAGTACCCATTTCGTTATATTTCTTTGGTTTACGAATAAATGTCATGGCACCACTGCGCATGGTACCGCTGTGTGCAACCTGGACCTCTGACCTTGAGTGAGTGTTGCAGGTGTGACGAAAACGGACATCTAGAACGTCACTTTGACACCTCTTTTGTAGTACTTCTTTGACAAAGAGATACTTAGTAAGGTACCACGCTTTGTGTGACCATGATCTTTGACGTTTAAGTATGGGTTTTACGGATGTGATAAATGGGGCATCACGAGCATCAATACTAGATCCTTTTTCTACGTGTTCTACTAGAGCAAAGAAATGTCAAAGTACCCAATTATATGTGACTTTGACCTTTGACCTTGAGGGTGGGGTGTTACACGTGTGACAAACTGGACATCAGGAGTATAAATATGACATCCATTTTACTGGATTAATTTGATAAGCAACGGAAGCCAGTGTATCCAAGCTTTGGTCTTTTTTCGAAAGTCTCGAAACGAATAGCGGAATGGCGAGCCCTTCTGAATTCACCCTTCTGCTAAATAACTTAGTGGGTTTTACCTGACCAGACTGCTGTCAGTGATCTCAGAAATAGAAATTCCATGCTTATTTCGAATACGAATACGACGCCCTCTTGACGGACATACGATATCAGCAGGCCAAGAAACACCAAACAACAAACACGGCTGCTACCGCGGCCCACCTAGGGCGGGGCGCGGCCTATCTTGCCGAGACAGACCGCCACAAAACAGCAAACACTCGGCCAGCCGACGACACGAGCCGGCCTGGGGTACCGACTCCACTGGGACCACCGGGGCGGCCGCCTCCGACGGCTGTGGGAACGGCCGCACCACCGCCCACCTAACGCCCGCTGGCCCGTGACTGCTTCGCCACACCGGGACAGACACTGAGGGAGAATATCTCATTTCCAGGTCTGCCGCCAGCTCTCATCAGCCCTCCTATCCACACTGGACTGAGCACACAAACCCCCGGATCCCAGCACCCTCGACCTTACCTGCACACCCCTGACCCCAATTGCACGCCGCTGGCCCCAACTGTATGTCTCCGGCCCAACTGTCCGCCTCTGACCTTACCTGCACGCCTCTGACCCCACCTGCACGCCTCTGATCTCATCTGCACGCCTCTGATCCCATCTGCACGCCTATAGCCCCACCTACACCCGTCTGACCCCATCTTTACGTCTCTTACCCCACCTGCACGCCTGTGACCCCACTCCAACCCCTCTGGTCCCACCTGCGCGCCGTGAGAGACGAGTAGCACCGTCTTGCCGCTGAGGTGTCCGCGGACGCAGTGGTTGAAGATATGCTTGCCAACGTTACTATCGACGGCGCTGAGCGGGTCGTCGAGGAGGTAGATGTCGGCGGCGGCGTACACGGCGCGCGCCATGTTGATGCGCTGCTTCTGGCCTCCACTGTCAACAGGTGTTACCGTGGCGACATCCGTGGAGACAGCCGGATGTAACGGCGGGAACAAATCGGACAAAACATTTGCTCTCCAATGGAGAAGCCATTGATAGCAAGCAGGACACTGGTACGCCTCTGGCCGGCCTCCGCCTGTGCAGTGCTCTCTCGTCGGACATGGTGCGTTGCCTCAGATTTGTCTCGACTCAAGACGGTGCCTTGAAGCCTAGTCACTGTCTGATGAGGATCAACCTGCACACTCTGGATGACCTCCCAGACGGTACTGAAATGTCAGGTTCCTTTTTGACTGGTATGAAGACGTCGCTGGTGAGAGTTTTGTCGCTAATGCTAGTGGTGTAGGAAAGGTCACCATATAAGGCGACGTGGACTAGCGGAAAGATCCATGAACAGAACAGCAGTGCCCACCTTTTGGCAGTCACAACCAACGACACAGAAATGTAGCGGAAGATATGAAATATGTCGGAATAGCCATGCCAAAGAGGTACTTGCGGCCAGCGGCGACCTTTTTCATAAATTCACATTTGTGCAATCAATAATTGTCTACCTTTCGCGGACTTTCGTAGCCTTACTGCTCTCCATGGGTGTAATTACCGAGGGACAGGTGGGACACGTCCCGCAATTTTCATTATCATTTTGTTCCCCCGTCATTTTCTCGAAAAACACCGTTTTTCACGTTTTTGTATTCAAAATCTCATTTTCCATCCAGGTTGTCCTTTTCAGATCCCATGTTGACCGCCCCACCATTATTTGTCCCCTTCCCCCAACACAGAAAGGTGTTTCCACCCCTGCTGGAGTGGAACTAACACGCCGGCCACGCCTCACCTGAGGTTCAGACCACGGTCGCCGATCTCCGAGAGGTCGCCATGCTCCATCATCTCCAGGTCGGTGCGCAGCGCGCACACGTCCAGCACGCGGTTGTAGAGGTCCAAGACGAGTGGCGCACCGAACAAGATGTTCTCGCGCATCGTGCCACAGAAGATCCACGCCACTTGCGAGACGACCCGCCTTGCGGCCCCGACAGCGCAGCGAGCCTTCCTGAGAGCGCAGCTGTCGGCAGGTCCGCCCGTCAGGCGCGGCACGCTTGTGAAGTCCGTGTTTTGCTGATCAATAGACGCTTGTGAAACATGGTGATAATGTCGAACAGGGCTGGTGTGGAAACGTCGAAGATCGGGTGCAGCAATTGATCGGAGTTGCTGGTTCGACGGCTCGATTGGAACGCCGCTGAATCACCAGAATCGCGATCTCTGAGCTCACCATACCTTTCCTGACAAATGGAGATCCGATCTCTCCGCTGCCCTGACCTATGGCAACGTATCTGATCTCTCCGCTGCCCCCAACCATGTCAATAAATTTGATCTCTGCGCTGCCCTGACCCATGTCAACAAATCTGAACTCTCCGCTGTCTTGATCCATGTCAACAAACCTGAGCTCCCCGCTGCCCTGACCCATGGCAACATATCTGATCTCTCCGCTGCCCTAAAATATATGAATAGATCTCATAACTCTGCTGTTCTGACTCATGTCAACAGATCTAATAGTTCCGTTGTTCTGGCCCATGTCAACAGATCTGATGTCTCCGCCGCCATCACTCACGTCAACAGATCTGATCTCTCCGCTGCGCTGACCCGTGGCAACAGAACTGTTCTCTCCGCTGCCCTGAATCATGTCAGCAAACTTAATAATTCCGCCCTTCTGACCCATGACCCGTGTTAACGGATCAGATATCTCCGCTGCCCTGGCCCATGATAACAGACCTGACCTCCCCAATGACCTGAGCCCCGTATCAACAGATGTGATCTTCCCACTGACCTGACCCATGATGGCGGCAAGCAGGGATGTCTTGCCGGAGCCCACCGACCCAGCCACGCCCACCAGCCGGCCGTAGTCAATCCGTAGCGATATGTCGCGAAGTGTCACCATGACCTCCGTCTCGACGACGGCGACTTCCTTCGTCTGGTCGCCGTTGGGCGGCGCTGGAATCGTGGCGCCGTTGGCGGCCAGCGGGTGCGCGCCGTTGGCGGCCAGTGGGTGCGCGCCGTTCGCGGGCACGGCCGTCTCCAGGGTAGCCTTCGTGTCCGGCTGCACGACGGTTGCCTTCATGGACTGCTTCAAGGCCACATGCTGTACCTTGCGCTCTGTGGCGGTGGCGAGCGCGTGAGAGACGGCTGCCGCGGGAGGGTGTTACCATGACAACAGCCGTAAAGATGGCGACGTTTTGACACGCTGTGTCTGGTGGCACTGCGCGGCGGCGGTGAAAAAGCTTCTGATTTATCTACATGAACGGTGACAAACACTGACAATTCTGCAACCCAACTGGTGACAAAATTGCGAAAATAAAAACAAATTTGAACAGACCAGGATATCTTACACCAGAGCATCCGAGCTAGATGAGATTGAAAGCTTAGTGTTAGTCTGCATTCGCTAACGCTTGCAGCGTGAGCAAGTGTAGAGCACATGTCGAAACGTTGACGTTCCGATGTATGGGCAAGCTGAGCCTAAGATGCTGCCAAACTAAGTAGCTTTCATCAGGATAGTTTTTAGCAGGTGCCAGAAACACCCACAAACTACACTGTATCAGTGCTGACGTCACAAGGCAGCGATGGCAGTGATTTTCCTGTGCATCTCAGATCAGCGCTTTTCACAGATTTGTCAGCCAAGACGCACTTCACATACTAAACGGTAAAAAATGTTAGATCATTAGGTTTATTACTAGCCGTAAGAATGGTAGCTGTCTACGACATCTTGCGACCAACGTGATCAGTTTGCTACGCAGCCTTTTAAAGCATTGTGTCATTTGAGACATACAATCTCCATTGCCAGCCACGCCGTAGGACTCAGTGCAAGGCTGTGGGCCGCTGTCGGTTGTGTTCATGTCGTGAGACGCTGACTGGCTAGAAAAACGCAGCTCATCGTCAGTTTATTTAAGGCAATAGGGTTAAAAAGCCATGCCGATCAAGGCGGCCTGTTGTTTGTGGATACCTTGGCTGCAGCCTCAGAGGTAAACGGAGGTCGTTGGAGCGGCGCATGTCAAATATTTATCCGGAGCTTCCTGCTGCTGAGAGGAACAGCAGCTTTGAGGTATGAGGCCGACCATCGCTGGTGAAGGCCTCTCGCATTGCCTGTTGCACCTCAAACTTGGCGTACTGATCGGTTGGCAGGCGTGAGATAAAACGGATTTAGTTGTCATCATGTTGCATATAAAGCTAATTGACGGTGCTAGAGGTGTTTAAAAATGTCGTTTGCACCTGTTAATACCAATATTGCCTGGGTTTTGCTCGAAATAATTGGAATCACGTTAGGAATTGCGAGTTATGCACCGGCGATAATTACAAGACAACGAAGTCGTCAGCGCTTCCAACTGATTGCACGATGACGTCACGAAAACAAAAGTGATGTTATTTCAGGTGTTTGTAGAACCATGTTTTCGGTAACTCTAGGGCCACAGGGATGCAGTCTTGCGAAATGAGTGAGAGTGAGGGATGGAAGGCAAGGGGGGGGGGATGTAGGAGGAAAAAGTGACTGAGCCTGCCTCCGAAATGCACTTAAAATAGTTTTCTCCACAGCTTTGCCGCTGGGAGCAGGGGTGTAGATTCCCAAAATTAGTTGTTGGGGGCTGAATCTCAAATAATGTTTCATAAAAAATAATGGATAAAACGCTGACTAACAATAGAAAACTATATCCCTGGCTAGGAGGTACAATCCCACCCACCCCTTCCCCCGCCCCAATTGAATAGGAAACTGCACGCCTTTAGGCTGATTATCTTCGTTTTGCCTTTATCTAAGAATTATGTTGGGTTAGTCTCAACCTTCATTCAGTGCTTCATGGCCAGCAGATAAAACCATAGTGCAAATGTACTCTTGAAACGAAAATGTTGGATGGTTATGCCCCATCGCATTTAATTTGGCTTTGCTTTTTGTGGTTTATTGCATTTACAAACATATTGGAACGGTTGCTGAAAGACTTGACTCTAGGTGACAATTCAGACGGTTCCAAATTTCGTCAGTGACAGAAAAAGCACTTTCTTCAGCCCTGGGGGTGAGGGGGGAATGGTGGAGCGGGAGGGCACAGTAAGGTAACATGGCTGAGCCTGTCTCCAAAATGCATTTGTTTAGTTTTTTATTTGCAGAACAGTTTTCCCCTCGATTTGACGCCCTCAGTTTTCACAGTTGGGAGCAGAGGCGTCATTTTTCAAAGCTGTTTTCTTAGGACTGAACTCCCTCAAATTATGATAACTGAAAAATGAAAGACAAAAATTATACCTAAAAATAGGAAACTGCATCCCTGGTTAGCAGACACAAACACCCCCCCTTCCCCTCCCCCTCCCCCAACTGAATGGGAAACTTTTAGTGGAACATGTCATGAACATGACTGGTTATGTAAGTATGCCCTTTCCTGATAATTCTATTAATATCTCTCAACCATCATTCAGTGTTTGATGGCCAGCAAATGACACGTAAGTATAAATGAAGCACAGAAACGAAAATGTTTGGTGGTTATGGCACATTGCACTTAATTTGTCTTTATTTTGTGTGCTTTACTGCATTTAGACGTCCATCGAAACGGTTCCTGTAGGATTTGATTAAAGATGACAGTTCGTCAGTTCCAACATTCGTCGGTTACAGAAAACTCGTTTTTCACCCTGCTGCGCGAGTCGCTGCTGCTGTATCACGTGCCATTGCTCCGAAAGAGAGCGATGGGCTAGGATTGGACGATACGACAGAGACAGCATGCAGCGGCTTTCAACGTCAACATTACAAGGGAGCAAATGCCTTTTTTGTGAGTGCCTGCATATGCCGGCCGCCTCGCAGAATGCTCCGCCTACTTGTGCATTTTAAAGTGGTTTCGCGGCTGCGCTCGACCAGCAGGGCAGTGCCTAAACGTGAAGCTGGTGCTTTCAGTATGGGAAAGTGATAATGTACATATTTCGGCAGCTGTGTGTTATTTTCGCTTTGTTTATTTTTGTGAATGACATATCCTGAACGGGTCACGTTTGAACGTTCCGCGCTCTGCCGGTTCTCGGAGAGGCACACCAGACTGGCGAGTCAATCAGAACACCAACAACTCTTCTACCGACTCTACCGAGAATCACGTGACTGGGCGGAGGTCGCGCCACAGGCGGCGGAGCAGGGGCTGCTGCGCAGAGGCGGATCCGGGCATCGCCGAGGAAGGCGGCCTGGCCGCCGTCTGCAGCGGCGCCGCGCGGGGCCGCTGGAGGCTGAGAGACTCCGCGGTCCGCGGCATGACTATGATCGCGTGCTCACCCGGCTGCCGTGTGCGCCACCACCTGGGTCCGCCGCCGCCGCTGGCCGTGTCATGCCGGCCCACGTGGCACACTGGCCACCGCGCGCCGGGCTGGGAGGGAGTGAGCGGCCGGCCGTCCTCACCCCTCCCCGCTGCCTGGCGCGGCCGACTCGGCTGACCCCGCGTCAGACCATCCGCCGGGTCTCCAGCGACTCGGCTGGGGGAGTGCCTACACCGGCTAACCGGACACAACCCGGACTCGTGCCCCTCTCGTCTACCTGCTGATGGCGTAAGTGCAACACAAGCCAGCAAACGATTGCGTATCGGCTATGCCAACGTACAATCAATCATGTCATCTGACAAGACCGACAGCGTTCGTCTGCCTGCCCTGCCTGCCAAGGCAGGTCAAGGCGATAAGCTTCCGCCGCCCCCCAATATCCCTGGTTGAGCGGTAGCGAGGAGCTGCAAGGCCTGCAGGCGAGGCGCGAAATCGCTGGGTGCGCGCGTGACATCACGAACACAGACGAGGCAAAACGTCAATACAGGGTCCTCAAAAAAAGAGTTTACTGGTCGGCTCAGGACTGCCAAAGCTGACATCTTCAAGTGCGACCCTACCGAAACATCAAAGAAAACCTGGTGCAAGTTGAAGAAACACGCCATCGCTAGCAATCCGGTAAAGTCTACCAACACTCTGAACCCGACAGACGCCGACAAATTCAACGAATACTTCGCCACAGTGGGACAGCGTGTCGTCGTCACCCTGAACAGCGAACCCCGGCGCGGACATGCCTCTGCGGATGCCATGGAAGGTCAGTGGCGCTTTCCGCACCAGATCGGTCACCCTGTCGGAGCTTAGTCTCGCGCTGCGCCGCAATAAGCAACTCCAAGGCAGAAGGTCCGGACAATGTATGTCTAATGCTGCTGCCACGCGCCAGTGCAAAAACTGTAATGAGTCCAAGGGCAAAACCATGTCTTTTTTCAGAGAACTTACCCACGTTACCCAACTGGCCATGACATGCAGGTGCTGAGTGTATCACAGGCAGGTTGCTGTAATCGCCTTTGAACTATGGCGAGAGTGAAAAATTTCATCGCGAAAAGACCATGCTGGAGTGAAAAAAATCAATTAAAGAAGATGGAACTTATGAGCTCGCGACTGATGCTTCAGCAAACAAAGACATCTATTTCAAGTTGGCATGGACGTAATATCAGGAACCCCACAAAACCATTTCGTTTTTTAACATCTTAGGCCATGTGAAACAGAATACATTAACACGCGCTCGGGTGGGGGGGAAGGGGGTGGGGGGCAAATTGCCTCCCCCCGAGTGCTTTTCCCGAATGGTTTTTGAACGGCGCGGCGTAGCCGCGCCAAATTTGGCATAGCTGTAGCAAATTGCATAGTAGATTGTTTGACCTACAAATTTGAGATGTACCTCGAAGATAGCTGACCTATGACAGGTCGAGACCAGCCCATGGTTTCAGCGAAGGCAATTTCTAGGGAATCGTTCAATCTGGTACAACGACGGAGTGTTTGACGAAGACGTACATCTCTGAGATACTTTCTTAGGCACCGCAAATATTGAATGAGCAAATTACGTTGACCTAAGGTCGGATATGATGGTCCTGCCAAGGTCAAAACCAACCTGATTTATTACTCTAGGACTTGCTGTATGGGTCCTAGTATGCTGTATGCTGCTGTAGTTTCTGGTGCTCATTTCAAATTTATTGACAGCAGGAACCGCATTATGCATCTTCAATTGACTTCTTGGAGGTCAGAACAGGCCATTGACCCAAGGTGACCCGGGTCGAACGTTTTGTTTTAGGAACATACTGCCTAGTGTAATCTTTGTCGCTTATTCAAATGCAAAACGCAGATCAGTCTTGTATCATTTTGGTCACCATGTCCTCAAAAGGCCAAACATTGTCAATGACCTCAAATGGGCTTGTGAACTTTCCTTAGAGACAGTTGCCTAGGTTCTGGGGGCGCTTTGGAGGCCTGGAATTGGAATGGAATTTTGAATTTTGAATTTTGAATTTGGCCTTGTTTGACCTCATTCGACCTAAAGGTCATGTCCTAGGAAGCTGAAACCTTAACCGAAGTGAGATCACGTATAGGTCAAGACACTCTGTAAATTTGGTGTCTCTAGCTTCCTTAGTTCCCGAGATCTCAGAGGAGGGAGGGGGGGGGGGTCAAATTGCCCCCTCCCACCTGAACAAAGGGTATCTAGCCAGCCAACCGGGAGCGTGTTAAGGCATGGTAATTTCATGACAGTATTATGAGCATAACAAATCATTAAAACCAATGACTTGATGCCGCACATTTCAATTCCCTTCCACAGCACTTTTAACACAAAACAAAGCAAATTAATTCAATAACAAAATAACAACAGAAAATTCAGCAAGCATAAAACACTCACAAAAAACCTTGGACTCCTACACATCAGCCCATCACCAAGTCAAACACGATAGACGTACTTCTGGCTTCTGTTATGTTGGGGTCAGGGAAAACAAACCTTTTGACACTGCTTCTCACAAAATACCAATGCTTCTTTCCATGAAGGTAGCCTATCCCTAACCTAAAGAGGCCTTAATCTCATCCTGCATAACCTGTTTGTATCACAGCAGCAGTTGTGAGTTACTAATTATTGCACAATTTCTATTGCCACTTGCCATGCACTTGACCAACTTAACCTAACTTAGAGTAGCCCATATGATGAACATCATCTCAACTCACCTATCTGTTGACAGCAGCGCTTGTGATAAAACATGATATTTAAAGCTAGTTTTGGGCTGGTTTAAGCTTGCATTTTTGTTCATTTGATTTGTGTATGCTTGTTGACATCAGACAAAGGTGACAACACACAAATCAAAACACTTTAAATTACTTTGAACAGCTGATTTTGATTGTCATAGTTAACCTATGTCCAGGGCAATAATGGGTATGCTCCACAAAACAATCTCTGTTCTCCAAAAATAACACAACTTTTAGATGACCAGGCCAGTATTGCTGCTTGCCTTTTTAGCTGCAGCAAATGCATCCATTTGGGCTTGTTTATTCATCTTTAATGACAAAGTTTGAGATGTTGGCTTCACATTTTAAATGGAGTGGTCTGATAATTTGCTACATACCAGTATTTAACTCATATCATAATTGCTATGCACCTTAGAGTATCCATGTGTTTAAAAGTATAGTGAACAGATACAGTACAGTCATTTGCCGGTCAGCAAACCATGACAACTATAGAAAACATGTGGTTAAGCAGCCATAGGGGACCACTTTAAGAAATTAGGGGCAAATAACCAAGAACATGTAACAAAATAAGCACATTGCATACCTTGTGGCGTCATAATTTGTCTTATGGCAAAACTCGATGCATTAAAACAAAAAATGGCTAACTCTGGTTACGAATCATGTGTTGAAAGCGGGCAAGTAAGCAATTACTTGGTTCACAGGAGACTTACTGGCTTCTTCCTGCTCCCCCAACACCAAAAAAATCAGTACCTTTTGCATGGTCTGTTGGCAGACAGAGTCATCCGACTCACTCCCCAAATATAAATATCAATCATGCCTACCAACCTTCGAGATTAAGATGCGAGACAAGTAAGAGGTGTGCATGATAAACATCTCTACAGGGCAGAATTTCGCCATCCAACACTTCTGTATTAGCTGCGTCGGGTCTGTCCCAAGGCTCTGTATGGCAGCATTTATTCTAATGCTAATGTCTTGGCAGATAGCCTGGTGAGTCGGACACTCGAATGGCTTGGATTTATCATTATTAAGCACCGCCATGAACCACGAAAACGGCTAACCGAAGGTTTAAGAGGGCAAAAGTGGCGGTAAAAATAGGTTCCGTGCTTCAAATCGTCTCCTTCATTCCCTGTGAATTGTTTACGCTAGGGTGCATATCAAACATGTTTGGACGGCTGGCGAATTAATCCAATTTGTGTATAAAATACGTACAAGTTTTCAGTTGGAGCATCTTGCAGAAATATTGGTCAACATTTGAGCAGCAGATGCTACCTCTAAAGACAATCGAACAGGAAGGAAGAATAAAGTGGTATGCCACTGGTATGATACCAAGAAAAACAAAAGTAGATAAATGAATATAAAGACTGGTACTTTTCTCGCAAAATTTTGTAATCAGCTGATTCGACTTAAAATCTGTTAATACAAGTGCTCAAATGGTGATATTCATCTCGTAAGTTAATTTATAAGACAGTTCTTAAACTTTTCACTCATGCATTTCGGGAGTGATGCAATTTAGTGGTCAAGTTTCCTCGGGAAAAAAGGAATACGCGGAGCAAAATTTTTTACCAGGCCTTGCTGGTGTTTGCACCAGGGCTCTGCTTTCGTGGTGTGGAGGTGAGACCAAAACAATGAGGATGCGTGAAAACCTTGCATTTGGCACACAGCTGCCGATTGTGATGCATTTTGTAAACAAACCAAACTTAATGCGTGCAAGCGGCTGGGGTCGCTGGGGTTCTTGAGATGGAGGTACCTGGCGCCCTTCCTCTGCGCATACATAGACATGATTCAGATGTAGGTGAGGCAGGACATAGCCATTGGTGTCCAGGTTTCTGCGGAGCCTCGTTTATGCTTGGTGGTTCCAAGTGCGCTCGGTTTTGGATGGCATCTGAAAACCTCAGAAAGGGCAATAGGGGTTGGCATGTGCGATTAAGGCAATGTCAGGCAGGAGTGAAAAATTCACCTACAATATGGGGAAAAGGAGTGAAAATTTCCTCCTCATAGGGTGTTGCTTTACACCCAAAGACGGCAACTCTAAGACACTGATCACAAGTCGCTCAAGTTCTATAACATCGTATGTGTGTCACTAGCGTTGCGTCTCACTTGCGTGTGTTGCGTGTTTCGCGTTTATTTGTTAAGTATGCACTGCTGCGGCGTTACAATAGCCACTTGCTGGATTTCGCCAAGGTTCGCAATAATAATAATAATAATAAATGCATACTCTGATGATCGTTCTGCTCTGTTGAGAGAAACGGCTGACGTCGCTTGACGTACGCCTCTACTCAGCGTCTTCTGAAAATTGAAACAACGGCGGGATATCCAGATACATTTAGTGGTTATATGAACTTGCCGCGTCAAAATTGTGCCACGTTTTCTTGACAAGACAGCTAACGAATAAGCACAGCGGACACCGCTGACATCGACAAGATATACACGTTCCAGAAATACGTAAGTCATCGTCACAAAACAACACATGGAAGTACTACGCAGGCTGCGCTTGGCGGGGACTCCGGTCCCAGCATCGCCCCATTACACTGCCGCTGATATGTCAAACCAAAGTAACCCAGTCACCTTTCTGTGCTTTGGTGTTCGTGTTGACTGGCTTCTCCCACGCGAAGTGGGCATCCTTGATTTCTACGGCGCTCTCGGAGGTAACGTTCGGCTGAACAAAATCTATTTCTGGCTGCATCATCAGCTTCTGTTGAATAATGGGGGGAAACAAGTCAGCCTCCGGAAAACAGAGCATCAACCAGTGTGTGATTGGAGAACTGAAGGTCGGCCTCCAGTGGTAGAACAGAAAGACAGCCTAGGTTCATTAGGTAACGAAGCAATAACCATCCCTGGATGAGAGTACGCACCATAGTAACGGGGTACGGTAGCCCCTGATCCACGGTGCACCGTAAATGCTCTTCACAACCGACGTTTCCGCTACCGCCTCTGGACATTGTGACGTCACTGCAAAAGCAGCGCCATCTTAGCGTCCGGCTGGCCGGCGCCGGACCTTGACACACCGTCCCCTCGCCTAACCTTGATGCGGCGCAGCGCCACGTGCACCTCGGTCATCAATCTTGACTCCGTACGGCAGGGCGCCGATCGGGAACTGCATGGCGTTGAACACGGCGAAGGTGGCAAAGGCAGCCTGCGCCGTCAGCACGTTACCGCTCAGTCTGCGCCGGCAGTGACAAGTTATGGGCAGGTCACATGTCAGCTGACACACGAGCTGTATGTTACCCGAGACCGTCACATCACGCACGAAGCACTGGTGTTCACTACATCTCACGATGATCATGTGCGTTCACGGCGTCCGCAGTATGTAGATGTGGGTGCAAACTTCATTTATCTGAATCACATCAGTGAAATTAGCAGTGCATAGCATTTCAACAACTGCCCCGCAGAAGCACGAGGGCCGAGACGGCGTGCCGCTTGACATCGTGAACAATTGTATGACACCATTATCGCTTAACGTAATATTGCTTATCACCGCATGTAGTTGCTACGGTTAGCGTCAGCACTCTCATTTAGCACCAGTGAAAATGGAAACACAAAAGTTTCCCTTAACCGGGATCCAAACCTAGATCTCTCTGTCATTAGTCCGAGTGTGGAATTATACAAAACAAGATTGTTTTCGAATAACTTGAAGTTTGGACTACAGCATATTTCTATGCCGAGACACGTACAAATATTTCATTCCGTTGTCAGCACGATGGCTAACATACTGGCACATTTTATGAGGTCAATAACCGATAGCGCTAAGAAATCAATGACCGACATAATAACTTGCACCCCTGAGAATCACGTGGCCCTAGCTCGTGGCCGTTAGGTTTGGCCCGCATGGATCCCGATGGGCTTGTGCACCTCCCGACCACTCTTTGCGACCATCTTGACTGGTCCGGTTGTTGACTGGTGGCTTAGAGCTTGCTCTTCATTGTCCCTTCAGGCCTCATTTCCGTCGCTTCATCCCCGTATTCACTCCGTCCGGTGTGCTTGGCGATCCACCAGTTGACGTCTCACTACGGACTTCATGTGTTTTTCGCTTGCCGTCTTCTACCGACCCACTGCTGCTGACCGCTTGTGACGGTTATTTCCTTGGATCGGAACCTCTCCATTCTAGCATATGGGGATATATGCCACTGAGTCGCTGACTAGGCATGCATTTGCATCTTCCTTCTTGTCGGTTCTTCAATAACGTTGTTTCCGTTTTCATGTCCCCGTACCGACAGATTTGAACCCGCCTTCTTACCAGCATTTTCTTCTCTTCCAGCTGGTGTTTGAGATTGGCCAAGAGCGAGCAGCTGTCCTACATTACGCGACCATGTCAATCAATCTACCGTTACCTAGTAGGAAACAGGTCCAGTGCGGCCAATAAGGTGACTTTTTCCATTTTGCTCTGTCAGCAAAGTTACACACCAATACTGGATCACCAGCCGAATACTCCGGAAATATTTTGCTGGCGTTCTCCATCTGCTTGGTGTGAGCATTCAGCACACATTCGACTGGTCTTGGCTTCAGTATGTCTCGTCTGGTTCTCATGACTTCCCATCATGACATCCGCGGGTTGTCACTCCCGCTGTGCTATGCTGGGTATTTCGATACCTCATCAAGAACGATGACAGCTATAGTTCAAGCGGACAGTCGTCTCCATCCATCAGACATGCTTTTAGGTTCCGCTTGACTATCTGGCCCCATTATTTCAGTGAGGTCCGTTGGACTGGGAACGATATGGTGAAATCTCTATGTACTTGATCCCGAGCTTGATCATGAACTCTTCGAATTCCTTGGCGGTCAGCTGAGCTCCGGTTGTCCGTCACTACTTGCACTGGGAGTCCCCATTTTGCGAATGTCTTTGACAGCCTCACTGATTGATGCTTTCTGTGGTAATGTTCTTCATTGTGATGATTTCTGGCAACTTGGGATGGCTGTCCACCACTAATAAATATTAGCAGCCTCTGAAAGATCCAGGAAAATCCAGATGGATGCGCTCCCATGTGCATTCCGGGTGTTCCTTTTAACCTGAGACTGGCCTTAATGCCGGCTGATTGTCGCAGCTTGCTATCAAAAACTTCCTTGTGCTCCTTGTTCCAGCGACAACATAGCGGGTCCCGTTCAGTCACTTCATTGACACGTCCTCCACTGGGTATCAGACCAAGTATCTCACCGCTATTCCACTGAGGACCGAGACTTGGCCGTGAGAGCTCTGAACTTCTCGATCACTAGTTGCACTCCCTGCTGTTGTCAGCGGGTCACTGTTTGTAGTACCACTGCCAGATGTGAACGCAAAATCACTGGGCGCGATTTTTCTCTCGCTACATCACTCGTATGGTGAGACGGGACTCATTCACTTGGTGGCTTTTGCACCTTTTTTGCAAAGTGATTTTTACCACCGCATTTATTGCAGGTTTTCCATTTTGTGGTCCAGCTCTCGCTTGCTTTATGCGATCGTCTACTGCAACGGTAGTAGGGGCCCCGACTGGGTCCGTTTTTCTGAGCATCGAACTTGGCCCACATCTTCATCCTCTCGTACACTCAATCCTAATGTCGTAGGACTGCAGACGTTGGGTGTAAAGCAACACCCTATGAGGAGGAATTTTTCACTCCTTTTCCCCATATTGTAGGTGAATTTTTCACTCCTGCTGACCTTGTGTAATGGCGCATGCCAAAACTACATTTCTCTTTCTGAGGTTTTCAGATGTCATCCAACATCGAGCTCACTTGAAACTACGAAGCAAAAACAAGGCTCCACAGAACCTGAACACCTATGGCTATGTCCTGCCTCACCTACATCTGAATCATGCTTATGTGTGCACGGAACAAGGGCGCCAGGCACCTTTTCACCCCAAGAACCCCAGCGACTCCAGCCGCTTGCACACATCAAGTTTGGTTTGTTTACAAAATGCATCACAATCGGCAGCTGTGTGCCAAATGCAAGGTTTTCACGGCATCCCCATTGCTTTGGTCTGACCACCGCACCACGAAATCAGAGCCTGGCGCAAACACCAGCAAGGCCTGGTAGATAATTTTACTCCACATAGTTCATTTCCACGAAGAAACTTTGACCACTAAATTGCATCACGCCCGAAATGCAGGAGTGGAAAATTCCAGAAATGTCTTCTAAATAAAATTTACAAGAATAGTATCACCATTTGAACACTCATGTTAACAGACTTGAAGTGAAATCAGCTCATCACAAATGTTGTCGAAAAATATGTGTCTTTATATATATTTTACAACTTTTGCTTTTCTTCATATCATGCGAGGTGTGGTATCACCAACTTCATTCTTCCTTCCCTTCCAATTACCTCTGGAGGAACCGCCTATTGCTTAAAAATGTTGACCAATTTGTTTGCCAGAAGCTCCAACTGCAAACTTGTACATATTTTATATGTAAATTGGATTATAAACCGCCAACCGCCCAGACATGTTTGATATGCACCCAAGAGGGAATAATTCACGGGGAAAAAGGAGACAATTTGAACAACAGAACTTATCTTTACCGCCATTTTTACCCTGTTAAACCATCGGTTAGCTCTTGGTTCATGGCGGAGCTCGATAATGATAAATCTAAGCCTTTCGAGCGTCTAACTCCACCAGGCCACCTGACAAGTCTATCCTTGTGCTGCCATATAGAACTTTGGGATAGACCTGACGCAGCTAATACAGAAGTACTTGGTGGCGAAATTCTGCTGTCTGGAAATGCTTGTCATGCACACCTCTTACTTGTTTCGCATCTTAATCTCGTAGGTTGGTGAGCATGACTGATTTTTATATTTGGGGGTGAGTGGAATGACTGCCTGTCAGCACACCATAGGAAAGGTACTGACTTTTTTTGGGGGGGGGGGGGGCAGGGGCGGGAAGAAGTGTGCCCTGGAAGAGCCAGTATGTCTCCTGTGGACCAAGTAATTGCTTGGCTTACCTGCTTTCAACACATGATTTGTGACCAGAGTCAGTCATTTTCTGTTTTAATCCATCAATTTTTGTCATGAGACAAAATATGATGTCATAAGGCATGCAATGGGCTTATTTGGTTCCATATTCTCAATTGCCCGAGGTTTCTTGAAGTGGTCCCTCATGTTTGCTTTAACCAGATGTTTTCCATAGCTGTCATGGTTTGCTGACTGGCAAATGACTATACTGTATATATACACTATATTTTTATTAGGGGCATGCTCTGAGCTGCATAGCAATTATAATATAAGGTGAATATCAGTATGTAGCAAGTAGTCAGACCACCCCCGTTTCGAATGTGAAGCCAACATCTCAAACTTTGTCATTAAATATGATAAACAAACCTAAATAGATGCCTTTGCTGCAGCTGAAAAGGCAAGCAGCAAAGCTGGCGTGGCCATCTATAAGTTATGCTACTTTTGGAGAAGAGAGGTCGCTTTATGTAGCATTCCCATTATTGCTGTTGACAGAGGTTAACCGTGGCAATCAGAATAAGTTGTTCAAAGTGATTTTAAGTGCTTTGATTTGTATGTTGTCAACTTTGCCTGATGTCAACAGGCGTACACAAATGAACTGAATACAAATGCAGATTGATACCAGCCAAAAATGAGCGTTACCATGTTTTATCACAAGTGTTGCTGTCAACAGATAGGCGAGTTGAGATAATGTTCAACATATGGGCTACTCTAGTTAGGTTGACTTGGTTAAGTGCATGGCATGTGGCAATAGGAATTGTGCAAGAATCAGTAACTCCAACTGTTGCTGTGATACAGATTAGACAGGATGAAATGAAGTACGACCTCTTTAAGTTAGGCAGAACTAGGCTACTTTCATGGAAATGAGCATTGGTGTTTTGTAAGAAACATAGCAAAAGGTTTGTTTTCCCTAATCCCGTCTTGACAGAAGCAGAGGTATGTCTGTTGTGTTTGACTTGGTGATGGGCTAGTGTGTAGGAGTCAAAGTTTTTTTGTTTGAGTTCTTTATGTTTGTTGAATTTTCTGTTTTCATTTTTGTTGTTGAATTCCATTGCTTTCTTTTGTGTTAAAAATACTGCGGAAGGGAAGTGCAAGGTGCATTATCCAATCATCGGTGTTACATGGCTTTTGAGTGGTTGCTACACTGTCATCAAATGACTATACTTTGATGTATTCTGTTTTCACTGTAATGGCCTCAGATGTTTAAAAAGAAAACAGTTTGTCAGGTTCATGATATTACGTCCATGCCAACATGAAATAGATGTCTTTATTTGCTGAAGCATCAGTCACCAGCTCATAAGTTCCATCTTTTGTTACTTAAATTTATCGCTCCCGTACGGTCTTTTTGCGATATAATTTTTCACTCTTAACCTAGTTCAAAAGCGATTCTAGCTCACTAGATTCTATCCCTAGTCAGCTTTCCTTTGTGGTTCCCGTTCTGGGTTTAGGTCGACCCTCTTTTGTCAGGGTCATTTCCTGTACTTTTATCATGAACCCTGATCTGCAAATATGATTTCCACCTCTTGATGACGTCACTTGCTGTTAGCCTTTGAGTTTCTAGCATTCTAACTTGCAGCGGTGGTTGCGGGCATCTTGATGTGATCACATTCCGGATAAAATAAATCGTCTGCTCCCGAAAAAGTCACACTCGTTACTCGAAATCCTGACCGTCAAATCTTTTTGGAGTTTTCCGGGTCCATAAGGTTACAAATCATGATTACAATTACGTTACTTTAACGACTGAGTGTGGCGCATGCTCATATCACTGTGACGCATACCGGGCCCACAAACTCAAACACCATAACGTTACACTAAAATCGTCAGATGTCAACTGTTACGTTATTGGTATATTATATGACGATAATTGCAAAGACCCCGTCCTCATAGCCATTATGCTACAATTTAAAGTTTGCAACTACGAAAAAGAAGACTGCATTCAAGTAACTTACATTTCGATCTGCAACAGATGTCTTTGTTAAGATCGCGTACATATATTTTATCTCGCTCTCAGGACGAGAGTTAACAAACGGGAACCTCTTATGAGGTCAATAACTGATAACACTAAAACGTGAGCACCCGAATCGAATGTCGAGACAGCGAATGCGGCTTCAGACCGCTTGAGGTGCATATTCGGCCTCCCTCGCGCAAAACCCCGTCAGGGAAGACCCGATTTTGAATGTATGTCGTTATACCGGACGGTCTTGGTAACTCGATACCCAGTCCAGGCTCATTACACCCAGAGACACCCACACCAGACTCATTACACCCGACACTCCGAGACACCCTGATCAAGCTGATTACACTCGACACCCAGAGACACCAAGACCAGGCTCTTTATACCCGGACACTCAGACCAGACTCGTCGCATACCCAGCACACATTCCATTCATCACATCCGTCAGGAATCCGCACCGAAGCACGCTGGTCAGTGGGCTGGGCCGCTAAGCCCAGCACACCGTGGCTGCTGGGGCCGACTCTGTTGCCTCCCTCCTTCCCCACCTCCCAAACCTCCCGCCCCCCACGCTGCTCAGCTTTCAAACGCGGAACTCAACTGCACCACTCACACATAGCCGAGGATGGTGGCGATGGTGGCCAGGACAGCAACGAGCGGACACGTGGTGTTGGAGAAGGACTGCAGGAAGGCGGCCTTCTGCAGTATCTCGTGCTCGTCAGCCCGCATCTCCATCACCTGTCGACGGCGAGACGAGGTACACTGAGCCGTTCGACAACAGCAGACTGGTGAGTGGTTATATTCGGCCGGTGAATCAGTAACAATAGATTGGTGTGGCCAGGCATCTTGGAGATGTTACGCTGAATGCTGATGAGAAGACACTTGTTGTATTGCATACGACAGGCTCGTGATTTATACCGGTCCACACGTGCCCACTCTCGGATCACTGACGCGTACATCCTGTGCACGTGTACTAGAAGGCATTGGCCGGAAAACTGCCTTCCGGTTGTTCAGGATGCAAGTGGGTTGGTGGGTGGGGCGCCCACGTGGGAAACAATGTGTCGCGCAACAGCCGCGGTCTCGCATCTCACAACGATCAGTGAGTGGGCGAGGCGCCCGGCCTCCTTTGTCGCCGTGCTGGAACAGCATCGGAGTTCGCAACAGGTCTGGCTGACTTTCTCTCCGTCATACCTCCCCCGGGGCGGAGCTGACTACTGGGAGTCAGCTTTGATGCGCGTGGTTGGTCCTGAAGATGTCCAGACGATATAATACACATGGTGGCGAGTTCTTCAGCAGGACATGCTCACAGTTCCGATGTTCACCAGATGTGACAGCAGGTCTCTCTGTTCGCCAGGTGGATCATGAAACCAAGGTTGATAGGTGGTGTGACAACCATATGGGTAGCGGTTGTGAGGCACGGCATCCGCAGGAAACGACTAAAACGCGCCGGACGGCGCCGTCTGAGCCGATATTATACGCGGGCAGTGGTCTGCTGTGGTGGTAAAGAGCGACCATCGGATGCGATCCTCGTGACGTCACCAGGTGTTTTGGCGGTTCAGCGGTCGAGATGAGCCTGCGGAGGCCTAGATGCGCTGTCTTGGCATCATGGCGTTGCCGCTGATTTCCCGGGATCGAGCGGTGTTTTCTGTGGCGTGGGTAGATGGCGCGTGACGCTTTGCTGTTCGCTGTTGCTGATTATTAACGGACGATGATTGCGAGCCAGGCCTGCCACTGAGCGATAGCTTCTGTTCACTTGAACAGCGGCCACGCAAACCAGCACTCGACACGGAATGGGATGACGTGGTGGGCTGTGAGCGTGGCGAGTTGGTCGCTGTGAGACCGCTATGCCGACGCCGGACTTGTGTGCCGTATCGGAAGAAGAGTGATCTTGGCGTCTCGAGTTTTTACCGTCACGGGGCTGGCCAAGCCTGGCGGACTGAGCTCAAAGCGGGCGACATCATGACCGTCAAGCTGGATGGTGTGGAAGATGTCTTCAGGGGGGGGGGGGGGGGGGGGGGCAGAACAAGTCGAGAGGGGCGTCGGCTGGATGTTTTAGTTTAATACGCACACGGGTGGCCGGTTGGATACCCTACGCTCGGGTGCGGGTCAAATTGACCCCCTGAGATCTCAAGAACTAAGAGAGCTTGAGACACACAATTTACGGGATTTTGACCTGTGCGTGAACTCACTGAAGTCAAGGTAGGAGGTCGTCGGCCATGTCCTTCGGTCATGACCGATCCCAGGCTGGGTCCAATCCCAGGCTGGTCTTCAAATTTCTCCTAGAACCTAGATAGATATTCTTAACAAAAGGTCACATGCTCATTTAAAGCCAGTGATCTTGTTTGACCTTTTGAAGGTCATGGTGACCAAAATCATACATCACCACTTTGAATTTTGTATCTGAATGAGCGACAAAGATTGCGTTAGGTGGCATTTCTTCTTTTTTTTTAAAACAGCAGAACAACACCGCCAGGTTTCCGGAGAAACCAGGTATAACTTACCATCCCACCGCTGCCACCATTTGTGGTCGGGGATCTTAGAGCTGTTGCGTCAAACGGTAATGAGAAGACACTGACTGTATTACATCAGACAGACTGGCAGTTTATATGGGTCCACATGTGCCCACTCCTGGTTCACTGACGCGTGCATTCTGTGCACGCGTCCCCCGGAAGACAATGGCGGGAGAACTGCCTTCCGATTGTTCGGGATGCACGTGGGTTGGCACGTGGAGAGTCCACGTGGAGACCATTGTGTTGCGCAATAGCTGCGGTCGCGCATCTCGCAACGACCAGTGCGTGGGTGGCGTGGCCGGCCTCCTTCGTCACTTTGCTGGAAAGGCATTGCATTGGCCAAGAGGCATTGCTGACGTCCTGACTAATATCTCCGACATTAGTCAGGACGCCTCCCGTCCTCAAACGGGCGACGGGCAAGGCATTTATATCTCCTTACACTGGCAGTACCGGCCGGGTCACAGTTGGGTTAGAGTTATGCAGTTTATGATAAACCTTTTGCCGTTTAAGTGCGCATAGTAAAACCTACAAAACCTTACTGGTATGCATGTGTTAAATGCAAATATGGAAATACAGGTGTTAAAATTACACCAAGAAGTTGAAGAAAGGGCATACATTTAAGGTGCATCGTTGAGTCCAACAGGCGCCCGGTGGCACGGCTACATACCTGGTATACAACTGATTCGATGATGAATCGATGAGCAGCAGGCTTCATGCGAGTAATCACCGCTTACAGTAATATCTTTATAACGGGTAAAGTTTGGAGCCTCGCACGCGGGACATGCAGCTTAGTTTCCGGCTGGTATAAGACTTCGAGCGATAGCATTATCCATTCAGCTTAAGAAATAACTTGAAAGAGACTTGGATTGCTTTATAACATCAGGACCACACAGATCATCATGTGGTTGCACGCCACAATGCCCAGCACGCTCCCACCAACGAATGGTGGCCTGGTACGCGCTCTCCGATGTGCGAGCGATCTAGCGGACATCAGGCCACATTGCTGTGCTGTGACACCTAGTACGCTCTGAGATGCTTCATACCAGACATCAGGACAGGTTGATACGATGCCCTACCCTGTCTCGGAAGCTGTCCTCCCAGGCGTACATCTTGATGAGGTGGGTGGCGGCGATGATCTCCGACGTCAGGGTGACACGACGGTCCGTGTCCACCACCAGCTTCATCCTCAATGAGCTGGTGACGGCAGCCAGCGCACTCTCCGAAGTCGGCGTCAAGAAAACATTTCAGTCAATCAGCCCGTTACACCACGGTATAAGAGGAAACTGGTGTGCTGCTTACCAGAACAAAATGTAGAACTATCCAGCATTTGCAATTTGCTCAGAGCATGTAAGCACCACAAACACTGCAAAAAACAAATAAGGACCGGAAAATGTGTTCGGCGGCCATGCTGTGACAATCCGCAGTAGCAGGCGTGCAAAAATGGCTGAATTTACACGCATATATATGGCAAAAATGTCAAAATTTACACGCATATATATATATATATATGCGTGTAAGTAATTACTATTATATGAAATTAGTAGCAGGAAAGCATAAAGTTATGCAATATTGCCATATCTATCATTGTAATGTTCATCTCCAATGTAGCCATGTGCAGCATTTTCTAGTCCAAAAAATATAAACTCACATGAATGGGGCAGTATAGCAGGATCATGATGAATCCCAGTAATGACCAGGGTCCAATAATCACGATGTTGAAGATTATGGCGAACAGGAGCATACCGAGCGACGCTTGGAATCAAACAGTACAATGTCAAACGTCCTAACACATTCACTCCACAGAATGTATCCAAGCAAATTGTCTTCCACGCATTGGAGACTGTGCAAGCATCGGCAAACCGAGTGAGGCCCGGCACTTGTCTTTTCTAGCTGCGTCGTTCATTTTATGGGTAAACATGTCCTTAAGCATGACCGTGTGGGTCTGACGGCAGTAAAGGCCCTGGCCGTTGCCATGCGACAGATGGTGGTGACTTCTGTGCATTCACCGGTGTGATGACCTGGGAATAATGACAAACAACGACTACGGGCACAACATCATATAATTATTACGGTCCCAACCGATTGCATTAAATCAGAGCCTCCGGTCCTTCTCCAGCTACAGGCAGCTGCAAGGTACACGTGGGTACGCCGACGTTGGGTCGGTGCCGAGTGTGCAGGAGCGCGGGGGATGGGGCTGGATGTTATCCTGCACTACAGAGGGTCGGCGGGTTGGTGATGAAGGGGGTGGGGGATAGGGCTGGAAGGTGCCCCGCGCGCATAAAATGCCAGCTGGCCAGCTGTTGAAGGAGAGCAGGGGATGGGGCTAGGTCGTGTCCCGCACTACAGAACACCATTGCGCAGGTGGTGAAGGAGATCGGGGAATGGGGCTGGGTGGTGCCTCGCACGTACAGAACACGAGCGGGCTGGTGGTGAAAGAGATAGTGGGATGGGGCTGGGTGGTGACTCGCACATACAGAACACCATTAGGCCGGTGGTGAAGGAGGGCGGGAGACAAGGCCGGGTGGCACGGGTGCCCACGGGTGGCACGGGTGCTGGATGCCCCGCACGTACAGAACACCAGCGGGCCGGTGGTGAAGGCGTCGAACAGCCGCTCCATGTCGTTGATGCAGATGTTGACCATTTTGCCCAGCACCTGGTCGGAGGTGACGCGCAGACGCAGCATCTTTCTGTAGATGGAGCGCACCAGACGCTCGGGACGCTGCGGTCAGGCGGGCCAAGATCAGGTTGGCACCTCTCGCTCCGTCATTTGGTCGCTCTCAAACGAGTGACGTCAGTCAGGGGCCGAATTTCAGCTGACCACGGCACGGCTGGGGCTCTGACCGCTCATAGTCATTCGCTCCACCTCACCTGGAAGTCTACACGAACTTCTTCAGCAGGCTACCATTCTTGGAAGTGACACAGCTTAAATTTCAAGTTGAGTTTGAATTGTCTGGCTGTAGCTCGTAATCGATTCGGCAGGTTGTATTCGACGCGGTACCCTGAACACGTCCATTAACGAGGACGTGACGAATGCCAATTTCTTTTCGAACTGCAAAATCCGGGAGATGTATCGCGAAGACAAGAATGTGACGCTTGTTCCGAGGAGTTGTCGACAGTTGGTCTGTCAAGGAGATTGGTAAAATGAAAAAGTTCTAGCTGTGTATAAGGAAGGTGTTTGAAGGATATCATGGAATTGCTCTGAGTCGGCATTTTGTGAGACCTGTGTTATTACGCTCGAATTGTGCCACAACGCTGGTAGTTTCAATGACACCATAGCCTTGATGGTCATGCTCACAGACCTTAAGAACATCAGACGCGCTGCGTTGCAGTCTGAAAATCCAGAGTAAAATACAAGTCGTCTGACGTTGACATGACGGGATGGAGCGGCAAGCCTTGGTAGAGTCGCGGTGGCGCCCAGATGGGGACGGCCGGACAGGGATGCACGCACTGGTGAAGGTGGACGTGATAAAGCTGACGCCGTAGAAGCAGTAGGTGTAGCCGACCCGGCAGGCCAGGATCAGTAGCATGATGTAGACGCCCTGTATGTACGGTGCTGACGGATCGTTGACGTAGTTCATCATTGCCGCAAGCAAAATCGACTGAAATAAAATCATGGCATTGGTGTCAGGTCCCATCTGAACAATGGTAACAATGGAACAATGGTATATACCTACTAACAGCCGGCAACCTAAGAAGGGCTTGTGCGGATACAATCAAGACGAGGAATCACTGTCAGAGCCCAGGGCGTGGCGGCAGCTCGCAGAGGACCACTTAAGCCATGTGAATAAACGCCTCGTCGTTCCACTGTTGCAAAGCTAGGAAAACCATAGTCATGGAAAATCTTAGGTGGATTATTGATTCAGCTTTGAATCTGGTTATGCCAGGTATACGTGAAGTACTGATGTGCACATTATCCGTTTGCAAAGCGGAAACAGCCAGGCAACAGTTATGTTCACAACCAACGAACACATCAACAGTCATATCACACTGTCAGGTAAGCGTCCCGAGCCAGCGGCAACACGTGCCCTGCCCGGTGGCCCACTGACCGGCCCGATGATCTGTAGGACGAGGGCCACCACCATGGCGACCGAGGAGACGATGGTGCGCATGCGGAAGGTACGCAGCAGAGCGCGCGACAGCGAAGCGTCTGTGGCGCCGCGCTGCGCCAGCTCCGCCTCCCAGTGGCGCTCGAGCCGTTCGCAGTTGTGGTGGCTGGCGTCGTCTGGCTGGCGCAGCGGCAGACGTGGCGACAGTTCACAGCAGTTGCAGTGGCGCAACAGGCCGCTACAGAAACATGGTTGGTGGCTGCCGCGTCCACCGGACGGGACCAACATCGAGTAGCCAAAATAATTCATGGCAAGTCGGCCATGTATGCGGACATGTCAGACAACCTTCATACTTGAAGGTTTCGTCCGAGCCTTTTCATTAGATGGATTGCTGGGATAAGCGCCCACGCTAAGCAGCTCTTGTTGCGTGAGCCCTCACCTCACCATCTGATCGTAAAATTCGACGGCAGGATGTTGCAGCACAAGCTCTGCACACCACTCTGATGACATTGGACATTTGGCGCGGCCGCTGTCGCCGGCCGCAAGCCATCCCAGCTATGGAACCCCACCACAGGTGGGTGAAATGGAATGCAAGAGCTCTAACAACTGAGTTATTAGTAAAGACAATAAAAAGCTCGCTGTAGTTATTTCAAGACAAAAATTGGATGCGTTACAAAAATTTGAAGTCCGAGCAGTTATTTGGTGTTCTTTAAACACCACCTAGCTCTTGAAAAGGACCTTGGGATAAATGCCCTGTATTACTTATTAACGCCTACGCAGTGGGCGTTTGAAGATGCTTTGCAGCCACCAAGCATGGAGAGTCACGGTACCAATTTTAGATCGTGACGCTTGCTCCAAAGCGATCACTTTGCGTCAGAAATTGTTGCACAAAATAATGACTCCGAAGTCGTTGCAATCAGGCAAAACCATTGACCGTGCTCAGTTGTCGTAGCATGTCCACTCTCTGCAAAACTTGATGCAGTTAGCCGTAGTGAGAGCAGCTGGTGGGAGAGCGAGAGAGCGGGAGCTATATATATATATATATATATATATATATATATATATATATATATATATATATATATATATTTATACGATATATATGTGTGTATGTGTATGTGTGTGTGTATATATGTATACATATCTATGTGCATATAAATATATATATATATGTATACATATACATGTGTATATATATATATATATATATATATATATATATATATATATATATATATATATATATATATATATATATATATTGAGGGAGTGATATATGGCAAGTGTGATGATGCAGCTCACCCGCAATCGCCAGACGTCGTTGGTCGTTATTGTGCCGTTGTAGGCCTTCCACATCAAACCCGTCATCCAGTGCAGAGAGAACAAGGAGAGACAGCCGCGCGACGGTCCCGGCATCACGTGCTCCGGCTCCCTGACGCACCGCCGCAGCATCGGTCAGTCACGCGGCTCCGCCCAACGCACGTTATGCCTCGACACGAAACGAGCGACGGTGGTGACTGATGCACCGAAGTCAAGAGTCAAGAGAAAGATAGGAAAGGAAAAGGGTACATTGAGAGAAAGAAATACATAGACATAGAGGCATAAAGACATAAAGACACAGGCATAGAGCCATAGAGATACAAGAAAAGAGACAAAGAGTGGCTGAAAAAACAGTGACAACCACGGGGATCTGGACATGGGTACAGACAAATGCAAGGACAGGGGTGGGGACAGTGACAGGCACAGCTTTAATCGACAGGAGGCGAGAGAGGGAGAAAGCGAGAGGGCAAGAGAGGAAGAGGAAAGAGAACTGGGTCTGCAAGGATGAAAAAGGCTTCCGATTTACCATATATTATCTGTGACCAAAACTGGCACCTTTACATACAAGTTGGTGATAAAATTGCGAAAATGAAAACAAATTTCAACACATCAGACCATGTTACAGCAGGTCATCCGAGCTAGACAAAACTCAAAGCTCAGTATTTGTCTGTACTCGCTAAGGCTGCAGTGAGAGCATGCGCAGACCACATGTCTAAACGCTGCCGTTTTGCTGTGTGAGCAAGTTGAGCCATAAGATGCTGCCAGACATAGTAGCTTTCATCAAGATAGGTTTTAGGAGCAGACAGAGACATACTACAAACTATACTATACCAGGGCTGACATCACATATCAGTGATATCACAGTGCTTTTCCAGTGCCTCTCAGATCAGTGCCGTTCACAGATTTTCTCAACGGAGGTTCCCATTACATACTTACCAGCGCAAAATATCGAATAACTAGGTTTATCACTACTCGTAAAAATTGTGACTGGCCACAGCATCATGCGACGAACGTGATCAGCTTGATACGCAGCGTTTTTAAGCGTCATGCCATTTGAGGCAGATGGGCTCGATTGCCTTCCTCGTGGTCATGCGTTGGGTACAGCGCAAGGATGTGGGCTGCTGTTACTTGTGTTTTTGTCGTGAGAAGATGACTGGCTAGACGAACGTGGCTAATTGTCAGTTTTCTAAGATAATGGTGTTAAAAAGCCTTGCCGATCTAGAAGGATTGCTGTTTGTGTGTACCTTACCGGTAGCTTCAGATGTGAGCGGAGGTCCCTTCAGCGACACATGTCAGGGATTCATACAGTGCTTCCTGCTGCTGAGAGGAACAGCGTCATTGAGGTGAGAGGCCGAGCATTGCTAGTATAGGTATCCCACATTGCCTGTTGCACCTCAGGCTCAGTGCACTGATCAGTGGAGTGGTGTGAGATTAAACACTTTTAGCTGACACTATATTGCATATAAAGCTAAACGAAGGTGCTAGAGGTGTTTAAAAATGTCATGTGCATTTGCTTGTCATTGATGCCCATATTGAATGGCTTTTGCTCTGGATAACTGAGATCATGTAAGGAAGTGTGAGCTCTCCACAGGCAGTGATCATGCGAAAATAGTGCAGATCGCCAACGCTTCCGCCTGATTGTACGATGACGTGACAAAACCAAGTGATATTGTTCTCGGTGCTTGTAGAACCATGTTATCGGCAAATGTAGGGATGCATGCAAGGACGCATGTGCAGGGATGCATGTCTGCAAAATACGTGGGGGTGAGGCGGGGAAGGGGAGGGGGAGGGGGCGTTTGTGCAGGAAGAAAAAAATGGGTGAGCCTGTCTCCGATATACTTTTAGAACCAGTCCTTCTCAGATTTGACGCACTTTCTTTCACAGTTGGGGGCAGGGGTGTAGTTTCTCAGAATTTGCTTGGCGGGCTGAACCCCAAAGTTATGACGGATGAAAATAATGGATACAAGTGAGAACTAAAGATAAGAAACTGCATGCCCGGTTGGTAGACACAGTTCCGCCTTCCCCCTCATTTGAATAGAATATAACACACATTTAGGCTGGTTATACTAAACATGCCTCTGTCTGATAATTATATTCATTTATTTTCAACTACCATTCGGTGTTTGATGGCCAGCAAATGACAGTTTAGTGCAAATGAGCTTCCGCAACGAAGTGTTTATGGTTATGCCACATTTCAGTTAAGTTGTCTTTGTTTTTATGATTGATCGCATTTAGAGATATTGTACAACGGTTTCTTAATAACTGGACGCCAGGCGACCATTTAGACGGTTCCAAATTTTGCCGGTGACAGAACATACACCTTTCACCCCTGGGAGTATGGGAGAGCGCGAGCGTGAGCGAGAGTTGTACTGACTTGCTGGCCGGCCGGACGGGCATCATCTGCCGCAGCGAGTTGCCATATCTTTGCTTCCATGGTCGTCTTGTATATCGCTCCTTTTTCCTGTAAAAGTCCAAGGAACCTGAGGCATTCAGTCACTAGCGCGACATAGTAAGGAAACATAAACTTATCAATTACATACGTGGAAAGCAGACACGCTGTTCTCAGCTCTCCGGCTCCGTCGGCACAGCCGCAATTCGTGGCATGGTGATGGAGGGGTACGACCAACCAGCCGAAACCACGCCCCGCGTGATGCGTGTGCGTGTGTACACTTTACCGTGTTTGCGTAGCTTTGTTTACATCTGTAGGACAAAGCACGCACGCTGCATCAACACGCCGGCATTCACTTTCAACGGATCATCTGCGGTCATCTTAGGTCATTTCATGTCTTCTCATGACTCGACCTTGTGTGACCTTGCATGTACGACCCTCACACAAACAAGGGATACCAATAGACTGAAACGTCTGCTAGCGATATTTTGAACAGTTTTGAAGCCGCCATCGCAGCGGCTTTGGCCACCCGACCATTGACTTTACAGTGTCATTGTCGCAGTTGTCATTTTAGTTCAAGGCATTTCGGGCTTGAGAGCAATTTCAGCCAATTTCCAAGATTGCCTCGTCAAGTTGAATTTGAAAGACTTCTGAATGTTCACGACCATTGGTAAAGGTGATCATGAGACATCCTTAATCTTCTCAGAATATCTGGAGTAGATGGTATGGTACACGCACAGCTAAGAATGAGTCGTAGAACGCCGACATTACAAAACAATTTCCCTAAAAGAGCCTTAATAACGGGGCCTTGACAGCGTTTTCTTTGATAGGAGAGCTTTAATAACGGTCAATGGCCTGACAACGCTGGAGTCTGGAGCCCGCAATTTAGGTGCAACAAAATTACAAACTCTGCAGAAAGGTCAACAGCGTGGGAGACACTTTTAAAACAACCAGCGCGATTTGCGTTGCCGCCGTGACAATGGTTCTGAGAACATTTTGACACGGTACGGAGAAGTGTGTAGCTTAAGTTAAATTCTATCTTATTCGCTGCAAACAACCAAGACTTCACACACGTCAAACAGTATCTGGTGAAACTTCATGCAGTACCTTCACTCACGGCCTCCAGGCCATTGCGCTGACCTCCAGTCACATGTGATCGCAACAGCTTGAAACCGGTTATAATGATACGTCCTTCGCTCAAACAGGGTAGAACTAGGTGGAAGATGACTGGCATCCTTTTATAAGAGCACTGCCTTATCTCGGATTCTAGACAGCCGACTCGAACTGAAGAACATTAGAGGAGAGCACACACACATAGGAGAGGGAGGGGAGGGTCGACCTAATACAATGGATGCCACGAACAGAAATTGCGTTGCAATGTCAGCTGATAGCCGTATGACAGACCTAACGGATGCACACAGTCCCACTCTTCGCACGATTATCAGTTCTCGTAATGGCAAGCCGTGTGTGGCCATCACGCCACGGGCCGGCTAGATGTAGTTCGCAATACGCCGTCAAAGAGTGATTTGAACAAGGACCATGTAGCCGATTTACGATGTTTATTCCAGGCAGATTGTTTGTGCGCTACTCAGAGTTTATTTGTAAGTGTACAAAGTAATTTTTCTCAGACTTTTTCACTTTTTACCACTTTTTTACATGCCAAATTTTTCAAACTGTATGCCATAGCTTTGGAAATCGCTGCAAGTGCTGGCCCGCTAGCGTTGTGTGAAACCATGCGTGCGTCCATGCGTCCGTGCGTGCGCGCGTGTGTGTGTGTGTGCGTGTGTGTGTGTATGTGTGTGTGCGTGTGTGTATCTTTGCGTGTGTGAGTGCGTGTGTGTGTGTGTGTGTGTGTGTGTGTGTGTGTGTGTGTGTGTGTGTGTGTGTGTGTGTGTGTGTGCGTGTGTGTGTATGTTATAATTGTCCATTCGTTCATATCTGTCGTTCGTAAACACGATTTCAAATAAAACGACCGTTCATTGGCTCTCAATCAATGTTGTGCAAGGTACGATGACGTATTCAAACGATGAGGTGTTGGGGGCCATATAATTTACAAAGAAAGTGTGTTGTCGAGGGCTGTCCGTTTTACTGAAAAGATACCAATAGTTATAAGTCAGTCATTCTAGACGTCCGTCACGGTGGCTCAGTTGGTTAGAGCGCATGCCTTCCGATCCACCCACCCGTGGTGAGCTGCGTTCGAGCCGCGTTAGAGCGTTTGCTATTTGCCCTTTGCAGGTGTGGTCTGTGGCCGGTGCCAGAGGTCGCGGTAAAGGTCAGTTGACGTCAGAGGGCAGGACGGACCGCGCCGAGCATTACGGCACGTTAAGCTCTCGCCACTAAATTCTGCCGTTGCCTGGAATTGCGCGATCGGATGGAGAGGGTCACGGCTCACACAAGTACTGCTTAGCGTGAGCGATGATCCCAAAAATCCATGCATTCAAATAGTTCGGATCAAATTTATTTAAAAAATAATAAGTCATCTTATTTCGCGATGCCTGATGCCTGATTCGATATCTTCAAATGCTGAACATTCACTTTCAGAATTGTCTAGCCCAACGTGAAAACAAAGCAACCGAGTGTCTATGACAATTTATAATCATTGGTTCAGGCGCGCAGCCAAAACATTCTTTGCGGGGGGAGGCAAATGTCAAATTGTCTCCAAAATCCTGCGAACTTGGACCCAGTGCCTGCCAAATCGCCAGTATCTGGTGTAAACCTGCTGGTTCGGGGACTATGTTTCGCTTGGCCACATCCTTAACTACGTCCCATAATTTCCTTGAGTATATTTGTTGTTTTTCTTAATTTGCCAGCAGTTGTAAACGTCATTGCAGGTAAGGTCATTGACAGGGGTGAAGCAGCTTCAGACAAAAGTCATCGCTTTTAGTTATTAAATTAATAACTTATCTTATGGGACTTCCTAAATTTAAGCCGGGACATTTTAAGTCGTCTTGAATCCTTGCACAGGGCCACAAATATTATAGCACTGAGTTGGGTTCCAAGCTTCGTAGGAATCGCTTGAAATGAGCTTGCCGGTGCCGCCATAAGGCGTGCTACGCTTCTTCCATGCACAAGAACATGTCCAATAACCGCCACACACTTTTACTCAGTATATCGTCCTTTCTACGAGGGCGTTGGCAGACAGCACCGTCTTACACGCTCCCCGATTTATTTGGTAACGACTCATCACTCATCAGACATCTCTTTAGGTTCCTGTCGTTGCACGCGAGTACAGTGCGTGCGCAGATGAAATAACAAAATGCATGCATTGGTTCCTCGGCAGGAAAATGCTTTTTAGATCAACATAAACATCCCCAAGGCGCAAATTAGAGTAGCCGAAATCCGGGAAAAAATCACGTTTTAGGGATAGTTTAGGTTAACCCTATCCGCTGAGCCATTCCTCTCCCAACGATTTCAAAACATGACACCCCTGGGAGAAAGGTATGGAAAAGCTAGGTTTTATTGTTTCCTACATCCAGATCGCAAACAACAGCAAGCGCCAGTAATTGCCACGAGAGCCACGAAGCCTATCGGCGAACATGACCGATCGGAAACTCACGATGGTATTATGGATGCTTACCAAAAATGGTGACCCTGCTTCCCCGCAAGCTGCTGGCGATGATCTGTCTTTTCTGGATGTTTGTCCGAATCGCTGGGCTCATCTTGCGCTGTACCGCTATCGTACGCAGAGTTAACTTCACCCTTCATCCTGCTCGGATGCACTGCAGTACGCGACAGTGACACGCCGCTCGCCCCGGCTGCTGACCAGCGCACGACCCCGGTGCTGGCCTGGTTCTGGGGGCTCTTGAGGAGACTGGATGGCCTCGCCTGCCGTCCAGGAGCCGCCGGTCCGGCTGCGTGGATTAGCCCGCCGGCCCCATCCTGTCGCCGTACGCAGGTCGTGTTCGGTGCCTGGTCACTGTGCCGGCCAGCCTGTTCAGTTCCGGTTACAGCCTCGTGCGCCGGACGCTCAATTAATTACCGCCGCCACTCACCGGGCATAAAAGCTTCATTGCATCACAATGTGGTTTGATTGGCCGCGGTAATGAACCGACCGGCGGCCGACGCTCTACAGCCGCTACCAGCGCGAGTAAATCATCGCGCCCTGCTAGGTAAACACGCCGCCAGACGTAGCGGAAATGCGCAGCCGGGTGGCTGCGAATTAGCTGCCCAGCCCGCGTAGCCGGCCGCTAGCAGCAGCTGACGGTAATCGGGCGAGCCGCATACCGCGCCGGCGCTGCTGCCGGCGGCTGCAGTCTGCACGGTGTAAAGACACGGCTCCTCCCGGCCGCCCGGCCAGCCAGTCACACTGACCGGCACACTTCCAGTCCGGCGAGATGACGTTCTGCCAGCTAGTAGCACAGCGAGTAGTGTGGCCATTCCATGCGGCAGTGAACCCATCACGGTTTAACGGAGCACCACATGCGGTTTAATTACCGGCCAGGGAAGCATGCTCAATGTAGGCATCTGTCGACATATATCGTGAGGTTGCGGGTGAGAGCCGGGGCTTTCCTATTGCACACTATGGACTGCAGGTCATGGCTTATTGCTGAGTCACGAGGTCTAATGAGCTTTATGCGCTGCGTACTGCCCTCAAACCACCAAATTTTCATCTATTACGATTTGTATTGCGCCGTGTATTCGGAGACCGTGTATTCGGAGAACTCACCAACAGACCTCAAATAAAGCAACGCATCTGGATGTCGGATCACACACATCGGATCGGACACACACACACACACACACACACCACACACACACACACACACACACACACACACACACACACACACACACACACACACACACACACACACACACACACACACACACACACACACACACACACACACACACACACACACACACACACGCACACACACGCACACACACACCACACACACACACACACACACACACACACACACACACACACATACACACACTAATTCGCTAATTTTGCGACACTAAGCTCCTTCTCGCACCTTTTCAAAGAAAGTGGACAAAATCT